CTCATGATGACTGCTTAAATAGGATCTACAATGCTCTAATAACATGTTTAAAGTCTTCAATGGCATCATTTCTACGTGGCTAAGTTAACCACCACAATTCAGCATGGGTTACGCTTTGATCTCGTTTTTCAAAATCAAAATAAGTGTCTACCACTCCTATAACGAAAAGGGAAGAATTTTTACTCTATATTCATTACATATTTAGTTTTTTCCTCAATCAAACACCTTATCCTTACTCCCAATCTTAAGTCCTTTAACATTCACCTGGCATAAGTTAGTTTCATAACTATTATTCTGAACTCTCCTTTACATTAAACAAAGATTTACTGAAATTATACACTCATTAATTCTGATTAGTTTTTCTGCTGAAGACAAATATTTTAGTATTTAAAAGTGATACTTTAATAAATCTTCACCGTTATTTCACAGAAGAAAATTTGACCAAAGAACATCCTTTTCGATAATTTCATCTCTAGCTGTCTACAATTATACATATATATATATTTGTATACACAAAATATTCTTTTTTTTACAGCTTGATTCCACACCGTATTTTTTCTACAGGTATGGAATTTTCAGCATGTGATATCAGTAGCCCAAATTTTGCAGGCCGACCATAGATATCAGGTGTGCATCGGTAGAGGATCGAACTCCGGACCATATGCATGGTCGGCGAGAATCCTAACCACTGTGCCACCGACGCACATAGTCATCATCAAAAATATTATTACTTCCTTTAATTCCTAGAAGAATATAGGGTTTCAGCTGCACGTCTCCATTGCGTTCGGTTCTCTGCTGAAGTTTTCACCTGGCTCCAGGTCTGCCCACATGCTTTCATCTCCTCTTCACATGACCTCCTCCAAGTCACCCTTGCACTAACGACCAACTCGCCACTTCCCTTTCGGGTTCCACTCGAGTGATGGCCTGGTGTGTGATGTCACTCGATGGTTTATTTTCTCAGAGTATGGTCAATCCACCTCCATTTCTCCCTGCCTATTTGTTGCATAATCGGTTCCTGGTTGGTTCTCACCCAGAGATCCTGTTGCTGACCTTTTCTGGTCGGGCATCTGATCTTGAGTACTGAGTGAAGACAGCTGTTGATGAAGGTCTGTAGTTTGTCCGAAGTGCCCTTCGTGACGTCGTGGCACCAAGTCTCTGATCCATATAGTAGTAGTGACTTCACATTGGAGTTGAAAATCCGGATCTTATTTTTGGTGCTGAGTGCTGTTGACCCCCACACAGACTTGAGAGTAATGAAAGCTTGTCTTGCTTTCCCAATCATTGCTTTGACATCCTCGTCAGTTCCGCCTGTATTTGAAACGATGCTTCCCAGGTAGGTAAAGGTACAGTTCAAGAAAGACGCTTACGTTAGAATAACATCATCCTGCGTGGTTAAGTAAGGGACAAACAAATCCATTCATAGTGCTATTCTATCTCATCTTGTCGATACAGAACACAAGACTGATGTTAATGAGACTTTCAAAGTCATCTACCGTAAACCAATTAATCCTAACTTTAACTTAAGAGCTCGTCTGCTACACATATTGCTGAGGCTGGCTGTTGGGATCTACATTTAGAAAACCGAACATAGGTATCCAAAAGAAGAAATTGCTTCAGACACTGTCCTTATCTTGGCCATCAAGGTTTTAATAACCCCCAATTTGTTGTTCTCTTTATCTCACATAGATAGATTCATGTCGAGCTTACACCAGTGAAGCAAACAAAATGGCCTTCAGTTGTACAAACATTTGATCTAACTATCTAATATCATCAAATCAATGTGCACCGTGATGGCGAGCTACCTAGAATGGTGGCCACATTACAAACCTGACTGATAGAATTCAGTCTGCACCAAAGAAAAAACTAGACACGTCACACTAGTTACTAGTGCCCACTACAGTACTACAGGAGGTCGATCGCGAGCCCGAATAGCTCAGTGGCAACGTCTCTGACTGAAGCTCTCACTGGGTGACGCGGGTTCGAATCTCAGAAGGGACATGAGTTCCTTCGAGGTTGTGAATACGCCTTGCTGACTCACCGGTGAGTGTCAACTAGCACGAAACCTAGGTCCAAGGCTTCCTGTGGCCAATTACCTCCAACTACCTAATATCATCAAAGATTTGACCTACACGTGTTCATAGTAGACTTAGCAGTCAAATAATCCGCCTACTTCCCTACATCCCCTTACTCCATTTTAATCGCTGCAAGTATATTTTACCTTGGTAAGCAAAATCATTAAACAAAGCGATACCAGTGGTGACAGACTTTTTTCAAATATCAACCAGTGATGCAGTATTAACAACTGGTTGACGTTTCAAGCATAAATTATTGCTCATAAATATATCGATTTAGTCACACGATTCCATAATTTAATACTTTCACCGTCTCACCCTATTTTGTGATTACATACAAGTGAATGCAGTGCAATGGCTGAACTTTTTTCTAGTTTATTTAACTTCTTTTTTTAATTCCTTTACGTTCCCAGTGGAACATAAGGCTTCAAGCTACAGGCTTGAAGTTTCGGTAGTAGTGATGTTTATTTTTACGGGATGGGGTTGCTGGCCTCATGCCCAACCTCTCCTCTTTACAAGTCTTATTATTGACTTAAAGATGTAAAGGAGTGCGTTGGTGGCCGAGGGTCGAACCCCGGACCACTGCATGATGGGTGAGCATCCTACCGCTGTGCTACCTAAGCATACTTATTCGACTTAGTAGGGTCAATTATTCTAGGTGTAGCTAAATCTTCACGTTCTAATAATCCAGTTGACCGAGACCTACTAGTTTGACCTATGTAACTGACCTCATAGTCATTACATGGTATCTGGCTTTGTTTTTGTTAATTGGATCTTTAAGCTGACAAAGTTTGTTGCATAGGAATTAGTTAGCGCTCAGATTCTGGCTTATCCCTAACGCGACACAAAAATGATGCTAAATTATTTAGATCACTCATACGTGTCGGGGTATTCCTAAAGTCAACTCCTGGCTTGATAGGGTATCCTACTTTACGAAGTTTTATAGTTCTACACATTCTACTATTATTAGTTTTTATGCATTAGATTGAATCATTATGACTCACTCAAAGATCACTTCATTCGGCGTACTAGATCACCTGTAGATTTTTTGATTTTATTCATAATAGTATCCACGGATTTTTAAACTTCCTCGTATTTACCTATTTCAATGTATTTATTGGCTTTTTTGATATACTTTTACTTAGCCATAGCTACTGTTATACTCCCCTTGTCCGATTTGGTAGTTACTATATTTTTGTCATTCTTTCAAATAGTTAAGAGCTGCTATAAGCACCGAATGGCAATCAAACCTCTACCTCAACTTTATAGACTTTGAGAAGGCTTTCGACAGCGTTGACCGCGAAGTAATTTGGAAACTACTCGAGTACTATGGCGAACCCCAAATATTCATCAACCTTATTCAGCAGCTGTACGACAACGTCACATGTCAAGTCATCCACAACGGAAAACTCAGCGAGGCGTTTCGAGTAAACACAGCAGTCAGACAAGGGTGCTTATTAGCTATCATCAATGATATTCCTGATTGTGGTGGACTAGATTATGCGTCAGATAGTGAGTGGGAAACGAGAAGACAGGGATATCCTGGACCGACCGAAGTGAAGAACCTAGAAGACCTGGATTTCGCGCGTGGATGATTTATGCTTGATGTCACACAAAATCGAAGACTTAAAAGCGAAAACTGACCGACAAACTGGTCGAAGAAGCAGCTGGCGAAGACAGGACGCTAAGTGAACATACACAAAACGGAGGTTATGAAAATAACCAACCAACAACAACAGCAGAAACATCCAGTGCCAATCACTATCATCATCGGGAGGGATTTGAAAGAGGTTACTTCATTCATTCACTTATCTAGGGAGCATCGTCTCAACTACAGGAACTGAGGAACGGACGAGAATGTCAAATCGAGCGAGAATCGGGAAGGCAGGCGAGAAACACATTCATCAACCAACTGAAACCAATCTGGAAATCTTCGTCACTCAGCCAGCATCAACAACAAAATTCGGTCGGATTTTCAATACAAATAACGTCAAGTCAGTCAGTTCGTCTATACGGATCAGGAACTTGGCGGGTCACAAAGAATATTTCCAACAGCCTGTTGCAGACTAGACCTTTATCAACCAACAACTTTCTTCGCTGGCTCTATGCTGAAGATCAGATGGCCGGCCGGGCCGGAAAGAATCACTAACAAGGAACTATGGGAACAAACAATGCAAGAACCAATCGTCGACCAACCAATATGCAGGAGAAAGTGGAGATGAATTGGAAACTCGTGGCTGAGAAGGCCGGGCCGCTGGATGACATCGCGCGCGCGTCAGGCCATCACTCGAGTGGAACCTGAAAGGGAAGCGGCGAGTATATCATCAATGCAAGGGTGACGTGGAGGCGATCGTGTGAAGAGGAGTTGAAACAGTATGAACTAACATGGATTCAGGTGAAAAGTACAGCAGAAGGAAGCCAGAAGCAAGTAGAGACGTGCAGTTGAAGCCCTATGTTCCACTAGAAACCCAATGGAACAATAATGACAATAATAATAAGTTGTTTCTTCCTTTCTTCTGGTGTTTTAGTGTCAATGCGCCACATATTTTGTCGTGATTGGCTCAGTAGTAGTTTTGTCTTTTTCACTTAATGCTCTTTCTATACACTAGGAACAACGTCTTCAGGTTTTTAATCTGTTAACAGCTACATTGAAGTTTAATCCTTTATTTTTTCAAGTACTTTCATTCCATCACAACTTTTAAGACACTTGTCTACAGATTAATCACCCACTGGGTTTTTTCTGCTTTGGTAAATTCGTTTCTTAGCTGGATAAACGTATCTTACTACATATATGGAATAATCACAGTGACCCCAATCTTTTGACTTCATCAAAATGGTGAGAGACTTATGAAGTGTAATCATGCAGTATACTACAGAGACAGTTTCACTCAATACCAAAACAGAACAGACGAACAAATACATAGAATTCTTTGCTCTTTACTTATTTATTCTGAATAATAATAATAATAATCACATAGAAAAAAATGTTACAATTATGCCTATATATATATGAAGTGATTTAAAAGCATATACATTAAACAATGAATAATGAATAGACAGTTAACTTATTCTCTAAAGGATACGTATACATACGTAAGATAAGATAGATAAGGATAATATATATAGAATGGAATGAAAATAAGAACAAATACTTAAAGATTTCATCTATACACATCTTTTACAAAAAGCAAAAGAAAGAAAAAGATAGATAAGGGGAGGAATAACACATTATATGTATATTATATATATGACCATAAGTAATTTTAAACTAATATACGCCATCAAGATGATTTAAATATAATACATATTCATTACAACATATATACCTACGCAACTGATCAATCAGTGTTTATACAGGAGGTTGGTTGGTGGTGGTCAGCAAATAACAACAAATAGGAGGAGAAGTAGGAGGGTAAAATACAGAGAAGGCAGAGACGACCATTGGTACTATTATTACTACTACTACTACTAACATGACAGTAAAAGTAGTATGTTATTATAAACAAAGAAAAAAAGAAGACAGTAATCATAAAAATAATGATACACCAAAAAGAAATTAAACAATACGTCAAATAAGAAGAGCATCATGAAATAAGTATTTTAATAATCGTACTTATTAAAAAACAAAAGAAAGTCAAGTGGAAAATGCAATAGAAATCAAAATATTCTTTCTTTTCACAGATACATACACACTCATACATACATAAACACATATAGATACTTGGCCTACTAAATAGTATTTATTATTCAGTACAACTGTATGAAAAAACAAAAGAAATTAAAAGCAAAAAAGAAGGAAAGAAAGAAAGAAAAGTCATCTATCTAGTCTTTACTTTTGTACACAAAAGATAAACTGCTATTTTTATATAAATATATATATGTATATATAATATTTAACACAACTGTATCTTCTTCTATTTTGATTTCCTTTCCTGAAAGTTCAGTATGAAAGGATCAATTTACTGAGGGGAGGGGGGGAGCAGGAACCCGAGTGGGTGAAATACTCAGAAAGTCAGAAGATAAATAATAATAATATAACAAAGACAGATCGATAAACTGACACAGACAGGCTGCCAAATAAACTGTTTTTCCTTTTCTCTTCTTAATTTAAGTACTTTCTACACGTATAACTCCCACAATTACAAATTAATTTATCAGATTCCTTGGGAAAACGATAATCATACGTCAATTCTTCACCGGGAAAGATCCTAACAGGTATAATTAGTTGTGTGAATAAAAAAAATAGAAATAAAAATTATTATTACTATTAACACTATAAAAATGAATGAAACAAATGGCAACGAAGAAGGGATAATAAAACATGTGCTAAACCTAGAAATGGGAATAAAAGAACCGTTTTACGTAAGTTATAGATGTCATTCGATTACGTAGTCAGTCAATTTTCGCTAAACACCTCATCATTCATTCAACCGAAAGAGACATCCACTTCTGGTCTAGACATAAATATAAAAGAAAATGTGTTTGATTTGGTTGGTTGGTTGAAGGATTTCATCATGAGCAGAGGACATCAGTTAGAGAACCATTGGAAAATCTGCAGGGAGTACTGGGCAGCTGTTTCCAATGATTCTCTCTCTAACTGATTTCAGTTCATGATGAAATCCCTCAACCAATCATATTAAACTTGAAAGTGTTGTATTTACTGGAAAGGTATGAATTACAAAAATGTGTACATATTCTTACCTACCTACCTACCTACCGATTTACTTATTCCTCTGTAGTATTGTATTCAATTTACACACAGGAGATCTTTTACACTACACTGTGAGTGTATCACATCTTTTATATATACCATAATAAAATAAATACCAATGAACAACTAACTCATCATCAATTTTTAAAATATAGCTGATGTTTCTAGCAAAAATACTCAATATCAGAGGTTCATAATAGATAGAATGATCGACGGTTCGATTCCTAAACCTCAAGTTTGGAGGAATAGCAGGTCCGGAAAAGAAGGAAGATTGAGGGCGTGAGACTAACAGACCACCCTACAACAATGTAAAAATAACACAAGAGCTGCTGGAACTTCTACTACAGCTTTGAATAAATGCTTGAAGCTGCATTTTCCGCTAGGAATACTACTAATGGCTGGAAACCTCCTACGTCTGATTCAAGCAAAATTATTTCGTAAGAGAAGGAAAATAATCATGGCGTAAGACATGAAAAGCACAATGCTGAGAAAAATAGAAGACTCCTTACCTTCTTTGCGCTAAGATAACAATATGCTTCTTGTCGTCAATTGATATAACTTTAGCATAACAATTAGGCTGTAAATAATAATAAAACCAAAAGTGAAATTTAGCAAAACCATCGTTAAATTAACCGAGTATTAACACTTCATACAAGTGTAATATAATAAAATGCAATAGTACAAACAGGGTGTAAAAGAACACTGCTCACTTATTGAAGACAGTTTATCACAACATGATGATGATGATGACAAATGATGATGATGTCCATGGAAGTTGATACCAGGGCTTACGGGGTGTCAACGACTGTCATTCACTTCTCTTCAAGAAAAAAGTTTTTTTTATATTAAATTGACACTCCATTACGCGAGACAGATTTTTTTATGTGCCAGAGCATGAACCACATTCATTGTGTGAAGGTTGATAGAACATGTTGACCACTTCACCTACTTGGGAAGTTGTATTAGCACCAACGGACTGATTGGCGATGAAATCTCAGCACGGATCCGAAAAGCTCGAGCTGCTTTCGCTGACTTACACCATCTCTGGCGTAGGCGTGACATCCGGTTATCAACCAAGGGACGTGTGTACTGCTCAGCAGTTCGCTCCGTCCTTCTCTACGGCTCTGAAACATGGCCAGTACGATTTGAAGACATGAAAAGGTTGACTGCTTTCGATCATAGATGTCTGCGATCTCTTTCTCACGTTATGTGGTATAATAAGGTAAGTAATGTTGACGTTAGGCGTAGAGTGTTGGGCCAACAGGGAAAATCAATCGACGAGGCTATAAAGTTACATAGATTGAGATGGCTAGGTCACGTGCTGTGCATGCCTAACCACCGCCTCCCCCGATGTTCATTACTAGCTGATATAGGTGCAGGTTGGAAAAGAGTCAGTGGTGGCCAAACAAAACATGGCCTCATCAATCCATGAAATCCTTGACAGTTAAACTGAGTCAGGTAGGGTGATGCAGACTTCCGGGTTGGGGCCCTCGGGACTCTAGGAATCAATGGCTGGAGACAATAGGTGACATGGCTCAAAATCGTTGTCAATGGCCAGCGCAGATGTATTCAGTCTCTGTAATCTTTCATATTCCTTTCTACCATTACCCATTCTGTTTCAGTCTTATACTTGTCAAACTCTATTGATTCTCTCCACTCATCTTCTTGTCTGCTTTTTTGTGCTATTTGGAACGTGGCAACTCGAACTGCTGCACTTCGGTGCCAAGTTCTATGTTGAATCCAGACAGACAGTGTGAAGGTGAAGATACTTAGCAGTTGGGAGTAAGGCTAAAGTAAGTGTAGTGGAATTGGAACTCCTCCCTAGCAGAAAGTTGAGTATGTAAGTGTCAGTGAATTATATCCAGAATAAAGATGAAGCATACACATATACACAAAGTTATTTTCTTTTAAATGATTGAAAATGCCCTGAAAAATTTTCAAAAGAATGGATACTGAACAAAGAGTACTCTTTTCGATAACCCCCTCATCATCAGGCTCTACAGTTATATATACATTATAATGAATGAATTAGTGTTATGAACAACATTAATGCTGTTTAAGTAACATCGAATCAATGCTATTGATAGATTGCAGCTAAATAGCATCAACATAAAATAAGCTGAATGTCAGACAGGTAAATTAGGAAAGATAATATTACAAATTCATGAATTTATAGTCTCTACTGAAGGCTAAGGCAGTAGTAGGGTCTAGCTGGACTTGCTTCTTTTGCACACAGAGCACTGGTTGTTTGAGGCGAATCGCGATGGCTTCTGCTGTTTGGAGCATGCGGTACCTGGATGATTTTGGCAATTTATTAGGCACTCGGTAGATTATAGAGAAGGATTCTTCAACGCTGGCTGGCTGACTTTGTGGCCGGTTTGCACCAGATGGTTCAATACCGAACTGTTAATGGTTTTAACTACACCTTTATTTAGCCATACTTAAAGATGTTCTCGAGTGAGCACGAAAAATCAAGTTCCTGGAGCAACGGCCAATATAACTGACTCCACTACAAGCACAGTTGAATTGGTAGATACAATTTGAAGTGGCTAGTCTAGGTGTTTCATCTTTCAGTCGAGGTAGCACCATCGGTCGTGTAGAGAATAATAAGATGTGTAGTTCGCCAGCATTAAAAGTCCTTTGAACTGATTTTCTTAATTTCTTCACAGTTATCTCGCTTGGTATATCGCTCTTGAATTGTAGTCGTATATACAGTGGCTTCTTGTTCACAGGTAGTGAGTAGTCCCTTCCCGCTTTCTTTGTCATATGTTTGTTGATAAATCTGTCGGGATAGCCATTTTCGATGAAAGTATCATATTTTTTTTCACCTCATAAGGCTATCTTAGAAATGCTATTTGCTTATCTCGTGAAACCTCTGGATCTCAAATATGAGTGAGAACAGTACGAATCAACCATCACCCACATAAAGAAAAAGTGCAAAATACAGAACCAAATAAAAACAGCTCACTCAATATATATATATATATATATATATATATATATATATATATATATAATAAAAAGAGAAACGTACATCACATGAATGATTAATAAATCGAGCAGCATTTCCAGCGTATGTAGCATCAATCACCCAATCTGGATCTATTCTAAACATATAACAATCTACACCAGCTGCACGATATTTTATTTCACGTGCATCACAAATAACACTACGAATTAATTCGCCAGTATATTCAATAACCATTTCATCTTCACGAAATTCTCTTAGTGCAAATAATCCCCGACCGTGTATACGAGATGGACGTACTGATACATGATAGTAACGAGCCAATGGGCCTGAAACCAGTCTACTGAATTGATTTGCAACCTTTGAAACAACAACAGTAAAAGAAAATGGAGTAATAACTATTTTTGTATACAGTAAAAGATATTTATGAGACAATTAAAAAATACATACATACAACCATTTACAACAAGTAAACTACACGCCTTTTAGAAAAGAAAGAAGCATTAACTGCGAATTTGTAAAAAATAACATAAAAAATGTATAAGGGACAGGATAAATGACAATAATGATTTTTCCTTAATTGAAGTAGATTTGTGTGAGAGGTGGCTGCAAGCCAAATTGGTAGGCAGTAATTTACGTCAATGTTTACGTCCTCTATATTGATCATGGGAAAAATAAGAACAAAGACTTATTCAACAACCAGTCAAAGCAGACTTTGCGTAGGCGGAAGGCTGTGTTTCTTTGCTTATAATAATCTATAATAATGTGCATGAAAATCTATAAATATGTGTTGATTTCCTAAAAATAAACGATCTGTCACTTGGCTCTTGTCTTCTGTTGTTACATTTAGTGTCACTGTCTACCGACAAATGGAAAGCCTATGCCCTGCAGTTTTTGATCGAGACATATGAATCTTCGGGCAGGACTTCGAGGCTTCTGTGCAGTTGAGTGGCGTTTCATGATCTGTCAGCGGTGAGACTGTTACTTGGGACGCTGCTGGGACGTCGGGAGAAAACAGCATATGAAATTGTGAGGCGAAATACCGACGATTTACACATTTTTCATTGTGAAAGATTTTCAGTGATACAATGACCAACTCTACTGATACGTAATATCTCTGTGACTCCAACTAGATAGCTAGCTTCCTTATATGGTTTATATCACATCCAACTTTATGGATTGGTATCATGTTTTGATTTAACCATCTTAAGCTATTTCTTCTTCATATAACACTACTCATCAAGAAATATGGTGGCTCGGTAAACATAACATTTAGCTTTACTACCGAAATGTTAAGGTATATATTAGTATGAGTCGTGTGTCTCTTTAGGCAGATTCACTGATATTGTTGTTGACAAACATTTTAACTCATATGTGAAGAAAAGTCATCCTATCGAGCTCTGAGTACCCTCTTGAACCTCTTCAGGAAGGACAAGAAAGAATTATAAAAGACTTTATGCTCACGCGACTAAATATAAAAAAGTTCAACAAAACTTTATTCGGTAAGCATCTGATGTAATGAAAAAAAGCGTTAGGCTTGAAATTATTACTAACTGTGGAAAAATAAACGACCTCTTTCCATTCTTCCGATTGTAGTCATTATTCCCACTGATTTATGTATTTACACACTACTGTAAATATCATAAAGTTCCATAATTATTCTTCCTTTTATTACGTAATGTAAAAAGAGAATACCAGATGCAGTATTGTAGGTAGGTGGTGCGAATGCTAGTTGCAGTAAAAAAACATTATTATTATTATTATATTAAAATCAGTGTTTCGACCTTAATCACTTTGCTTTCTTTCAAGGTAGCATTGCCGTATCTACTTACAGGGGTTTTATGAAATGTCAGCAACTCATAGTAATATCATTTGGTAAAATCACTCAATTAATGTATGCACAACGACTGACTATTTCCGTTTAGGCTTCCCTTATAAATAATTAAGCTTTCACATACACACCACAGTAAATGTTAACAATATATGCATCTTAAACCCCAGAATGAATAGTAAACGAGTTATTTTTTTTAAAAATGAGGTTTACAGACGACTGGTCAATTTATGTCACACAAATAAGACAGCTTACAGTTCCCATATCCTCGTCTTCTTCGGGCTCCTCTTCACCATCATCATATTTCGATGATTCTGAGCAACTGTCTTCGTCATCTGTATAGCTTAATCCAAACACCTGATCAGTAGAATTAACCGCTTCATCACTGTTAGCTGACGACTTCGGAGGTGATGATTGTAATGGTATACCGGTTGCCTGTACAACAGCCTTAGCTACACATGATTTACGCAAACGTTGAGGTAGCTTCAGTTGAGATGCTACTAACATGGCAGCTTGACGTGCAGCTTCTCGACAAGCAGCTTGCTCATTAGGCGATAATAACTTAGGTGATTCATTGACATTAGGAAGACATGTATCTTCATACGGGAGTACATTTTCTGCCTCAGGATCGATTAAAGGCCGCGGAGGAGGATTAGCTTTGCAGCGGAGAAAATCAAGGGGATCACGAGCTTGATCAAGTGGGCGACGTGGTTTAGTCCATGGAACAGCACGCGCACAGCCTTCAGAACAGGGGACTGGAGGAGTGAACTAAAAATATATATATATATATTAAAGTACATAAGCAGTTAAATAGTTAGGGGGGGGAATCTATATAACAAATACAGAAGTAACACGATGAAATCTTTCTAACCAGATCATTGATTGTGCAATATCGAAAACACAGTTTTTATAATGAATTGTAAAATTGTCTCAAAATTCTCAAACAAAAAACTTCCATTTGAATACTAATAAATTAAACTGTCATCAGTACTGGATACAAACAACTAAAATAAACATTAGGGTGATTTATCCTGCACACAGAGCCATTTCGATTGTATGAAATCTCCCCCTCCCCATCCTAAAAATAAACCCGACTAGACAAACCTATTGTTCAATGAAATGATAATAATAAATCAACTGAAACACAAGTTATTGATTTTACTTGACGACATTTTTTTCCTTCACACTCCCCAAGTGGAACGTATAGGGCTTCAGGCTAGTGGCTTGAAGTTTCTGTAGCAGTGCTTGTTTTACAGGATGGGGTTCCTAGCTCCATGTCCAACCTTTCCTCTTTACCAGCATTAATTCTGGCTCAGCGAGGTAAAGGAGTGAGTCGGCCGGGGATCGAACCCTGGACCACGTGCATGGTCGGCGAGCGTATTAACCGCCATACCACCGACGCACACTTGACGACATGGCCACATTATATCAAATATGCCTGGCAAACATCTCTGGTGTTAATAACCTACCGAATATAAACAAATCAGATGTATTAGAAAAGGCGAATGACGTAGCTTACCTTTTGACGTAATCTGTCAATTTTTTGCCAATGATATCGAAATTTATACCGATAACAGTGAAGTGCCCCACGCATTTGTTCAATTAGAAATATTGCGTAACGATGACTTAGACCGAATTGTGACCATCCATCGATAGCTGAAAAATGAAATAAGATAATTTAATTAAGATACTACGCTTAAGGTTACAAAAAAAGAGAAACTACTCTCTATTCATTCAGTGCAAAAGTGAAGCAACAGTTTGCGGCGATGACGGGGGAGCGCTGAGTCATCGCAGAGTGAGTGTCTCATTCAAAGTAAAGGTACAACTATCAAACAACAGGTAGGTTAGATTTTATAAACGAGTCGCTATTCACAGTGAAACATTTAACCTTTAAACAACATATAGCACTCCTACATTCTCAAAGCTGTCGAATTTGATTTAAAGTAGTCTTCTGCCCCAATAGTTACTAACTAAACGACAATTCTAAGTAGGAAACCAAGCCATCCTTGAAAAAATCTTATGGAGATCTAGTGCAAGACTAACAGGTGTATCACTCCACATACTCAGACAGTAGTTCGCCGCTTCTTCTGAACTTATACCAAATTTCTGATAAAGGAGTTGATCGGTATTTGAGTAATTATTCTCACATTCAATTTAATTTATATCAACGTCTTGTCCGGAATCCGGGAGAAAACCAAAAACAACTCTTGAGTCAATTTCTAAGGATGTCGTGAGTGTACACGCACCACCGGAATATTACCATATTAGAAAAAATAAAATTGAAAACACTGAATATTCATTCCTCAATCTTTAGTAGTTGATGTACATGATAGTGAACCTGTAGTGACAACTAGAAGATAACAACAAGTACTTCGTTAGAAACCAATCGATCAAATACTATCTGGACGATTCTCCCTTGGATAAACACCTTACTTTTATTTTTGTAAAGGCAAAATTTCAACAAGAAGTTTTAAAAAAATGATGACGAGAAGATTGTATTAGTCCACAAGTTCAAATTTTGACTCACATAATAAAACCTTTTTAGCACCTGTTCAATAAATACATGTAATACAAGAAACCTACCGACACATGTCTTCTTATAATAAAATCTGACTAGATAACATTGTATGGAGAAGTTCAACAACGGCGTCTCAGGAGTGTGAACGCTCCAATGACCTTGAACGCATGCTAGTCGTTGGTCAATGGCATCTGTCATTATCACAGCTAAAATGTCAACTCTCTTCACCAACTTAGGAGCAAATATTACCCAGATCACGTTTTTAAGTACTGTTTGGCCAATGTGTTAACAACTTGTTAAGGTTAGGATCACGGTTATAATTAGCATTAGGGTTAGAATTACGGTTTGAATAAGGGATGAAGCTTATGGTTACGATTACGGATAGATTTATAGTTGATGCCATTTATTTTAATTTTTTTATTATCCACAATTTCCTGGTAAGTAGTCGTCTACCCTCTTGTTAGAAGCCATAATAATTCAACCGAGGGCTGTTTTGGAAGACTGCAAGTAGGATGAGAGAGATAAAGGATTCACGAAAACAGTTTATCATCTGTAGTCATCTCGGTGAATACATACATGCATAGAAACTAGTCTAACTTAGCAACTGATACTCCTTGTTGCGACTAGGGCGGATTTTTAAGCAAGATCAGAGAAGCATAACCTGTTTAATGCGTTTTTCAAGCATTTTCTTGTCAATATACATGATTTTTTGAGCAAATATCCCTTATTTTCGTGATTAGTCAGCTGAAGGTCACTAGTGCGTCCGCACTCCTGGGAAGCTATTGTTGAACTTTGCTCATTTTGTTCCACCATGATTAACTTTCAGTATAAACAAACTATACGAAATAAATTTTCTCTTAAACTATTAAAATTCAAAGTAATGATAACTTTTGAAAACTCAGACTAACAAATTGATTAACGATTTCTTTCTAATGACTACAATAACTACAAACAACTACTTTTGATAATAGATCACCTCGATATTTTGAATAGACACCAGGTAGTAAGAGACTAATGACATGAGAGTCTAATCCTTAGCGGTGGGGCAGACTGAATTTTCTATCAGTTAAGTTTACAATGTGGCTACTATTACCTAGGTGACTCGACATCACGGTGAGTTCTGAATTGTTGTTAGACGGTTAGAGGTCATCAGCAAAAGAAGCCTTGGACCTGGCTGTCGTCCTTTGTTGGTACTCTCCAGCACGAAACATATCTGCAATCTTGAAAGAATCCACGTTCGGATAGCTCAGCGGTAACGTCTCTGACTGTAGCACTGGGTGACTAGGGTACGAACCTCAGAAGAGGTATAGGTTCCCATAAAGAATGCAAATACACCTTTCTGGAGACTGTCACCAACCAAGCACGACACCTTGGTTCAAGGCTCCCTATCAATCACATTCAACGATCTAACAGTATTTCTTCGTACATTGAAAACAAAATCAATAAATCACTAAAAATAACAGTTTAAAAAATAGAGATTAAATACATTAGGTATATTATGATCGATTTCTCTGAATAATACTCAGGTTGCCTGACCGAAATTCGTACGAGAACACACCAAAAGTCTTTATTCTTAAAAAAAAACAGACAAAAATCTAGTGACAGAATGGATTTCATTTGAATATGTGTACGTAAATAAGCCTTTTTTCCAGCCCATTACACAATCCACACGGTATAAAGAATTAGGACAAAGAATCAAAAGGACAAGGACAAATAAGATTATCACTCGGATCAATCAATATTGTGTCTTTGTTTTTCTCAAGTATTTATCCTATCATCTTGAAGAAGAATTATGAAAAAAAGCAAACAAAATGATAATGTCAAAATAAAATATATACATATATATACCAACGAAAATAATGCAACTACTCACCTGTACAAATTAACGGTTTTATACCATGTTTTTCACGCAGAGATGAAACACGCATTAGGACGGAACGCCATGCAGCCAATGGATTATTGGCTGAGCGTACAACACCATCAATTGAAAAATTGAGTCGAAATGATCTTGCCTATAAAATAAGCATACAATATAAGTTAGTGAATTATTGATTTTGATGATAAAATTTTTTTCTTTAAATGAAGGAAACTATCAAGTGATTGCAAATATGAAAGCAAATATAAAGGCTGAGAATAGCGTCTACATCCTTGATCACCCCACACAATTCGTTCCGCATCGACTAAACATCCATCGATCCATGAACCAAAAATATTGATTAATAATCACCCCCCACCCCCCCCCCGAAAAAGCTACTTTTAGCGTTCTGTGTTAATTATAGAACAGCTTTTAAAAGAGATCATGCGGTCGGGATGTATGCCACATCTGCGCATATCACTCAATTCTTGAATGTTACGCTATCTTTTCACCTGTGGATAATAAACACAATACCATTTTCTCTCCATCCAAAAGCTAAAAGTGAATCACGATACCTCACAATATATAAGTAGACTGTCAACAGATCCCATATTACATAAGTTTATTTTAAATATCACACAGTGATGCAGTATTAATGACTGGATGACGTTTCGAGCATAAATTATTGCTCATAATCATATCAACTTAGTAACACGATTTCACAATTTGTCATATATATATATATTCTGTCTCTCCAATTTTCTTTTGTTGTTTGTTACCACTTTCTATACCTACGGTATGGGTGTTGAGTCGTTCCGATTCCACGCGTGTGGTGGTGAGTCGATATGCACAAAGCTTCAGTGATTAACCTCTCTGTCTCTCCACCTAACTCTATATTACACGTTTTAATACCCTCACCCTGTAACCACCCACCCTCCCCGACCGATAGCTGCTACCTTGACATGGTGGTCTGGCTTGCACATCGCGATGACCCAACAAGCTGCACTGGCTGGAACCAATGTTCCTGCAGGTCCTACCATGCCAGGGAGGCTGTTAGGATAGCGATTAGACTAAAAGCAGTTACCGGCATAATGTAAGAATCTTTCTTACCCTATGCTGGGGGTCTGAGGGCGAAGTCGTACTGCTGGGGAACAGGGGTGTAACAGCAGTGAGGTGTTTCCCTCAGATGACCAGCATACCGGCCAGCTATGCTGTCTCTCCACTCCGGAGAGAAGGGGTTAGAAAAGGTCGACCCCAAAAATTGTAAATCCTGACTTACCACACGGTGGTCCGTAACCGGCGGTAAGTTTACTAATACGGAACCAATTCCAGAAACCAGTTCACACAGGCCATGTGTGACCGGCCTCAAGCAGTTGTCCCCTGGGCTCTGCGGTCACGCAACAGCCTTTCTGTTTCAGGTACGAATAATCAATCAACTTCTACGGTGTGGGCAGCCGGGAAGTAACAACCGCCGACAAACTTCCAAAAGCACACGAAGCCTTCCTGAGCATCATTCTCCTTTATTCACATCACTTTCCAAAAACCACCCACCCTATTTTGTGAATCCATGGACGTGAATGTAGTGCAATGAAGTGGTCGAACTTTTATCTAGGTTATTTAACTTAGCAGAGTCAATTATTATTCTAGGCCTGGCTAAATTAGTACTCTCCGATAATCCGATTGACTCCGACCTACTGATTCACTTCAGTAGGTAGTTGACCTCGTAGTCATTACATGGTGTTTGTTAAACTATATTATTTTTCCTAATAGGATCTATTGGGTCTTTAAGCAGACAAAGTTTACCTCTGCGAGAGTTAGTTGGTTAACATGTCACCCTAATTCCAGCCACATTGAGAATCCTACGTAAAGCCTGACATCCCTTCTTTGTACGGCAGTACTACAGAAGCTTTGAATTCTATATTATTTTCGTCATTTTTATTACTAACCCTAGTTTTTCTATGGTTCTTCATCTGTTTTTGAATTAATTCTGGTGGGTGGTTATTTACTAGTATTGTAACAACAGAAGACAAGGGCCAGACAGCAGATCGTTTTATTACGAAAATCAACGCGTATTTATACATATTTTATGTATATTAATAAGGCTTATGCAAGCAGAAAAAGGCAGTATTCTAATTGGTTGTTTCTCGGAAGTTAAGCAGACAAACACAGTCTTCTGATTGGTTGTTTTCGATATTTCTCGGGAAGTAGAGCCATCTATCTGTTAATCATATTTGCCCACGTTTAAGTCTGCTGTGATTGGTTGTTGAATCAGCGTCGATTAATGTCTACCAATTGGCTAGCAGCCTGCTCTCACCACAGTATTACTTCCTTTATTTGATTTCACTATTTAGATCTTCTGACTTACTAGTTAGGCTCTTGGCCCGATTATGCGGACATTTAACTAAATCTTAACATTTACCGATTCTGGGTAGGACGAATTAAAGTCTAAAGGTTTATTAGCATATTGGTTTCCTATGAATGCTAGTACTTATTCCACCATCTTGTTTCCGCTTTATTCTACAATCTAGCATAGCCAACTCACCCTGGTGAACATGCAGAAAAATATTCAAATAATCATTAATCGACAACTAATCCTAGAGGTTAGCATTTAATTGCTTTATATGACAACATGTAGCTGTGAAGTAGATGTTAACTTTATTTGGGGAAAAAGTTTTCATAATATGATAAACTTTTCGGGGCCAGAACTTACATGCTTTTCAACTTCATTCTGATAGAGACGAGCATGGTTGGCTTGTTTAGCCTTTGACACTAAATTAGCTAATTCTTGTTGTCTAATACGATCTTCTACCCATCGTCGTTTTAATGGTTTCGCAGATACAGATACATTGCTGGCTGTACTATTGGTTTTATTGGCTTTACACAACAGTTCATTTTTAGCAAGACGATTATCAAAATAGTGTGACCGACTACGTCCAGAAACAGTAGCTCTATCAGAATATGACGATGAACTGCTAGCAGATGCCAGAGATGATGACCTGGTTTTATACAAACGTCGATGAAGTGAACTAGATCCATGATCAGACCCATTATTATCATTGTCAGTACCATCCAATTGAGGAAGTAATCGATAACCAGGTTGAGGTTGCGACTGCTGCTGATAAGAAAATTGAGTTAATAGAGAAAGGTTATAGATTTAAAGTGAAATATCTAATGCAGGAAATTCATCAGGATTAAAGTAAAGCAAGACAGACCGAAGCTACAAAACTACCATCAATTAATAAATACGCTTTATTTCAGATCAAATCGTCCAATAATTTCGTATAACTGTCACACTCTTTCGCCATCTAGTTACTCTTTGTTGTCAACAGATATTCCAACTAATCGAAAAGCTAACATCACAGTTAGGCCTAATATTCGATAAAAGTTGCAGTTGTTCAGTTGAACTTTTTCGTGAATTTATATTTTTTTATATTTGTTCCTTCACTTTCCCAGTGGAACATAGGGCTTCAAGCCTCTAGCTTGAAGTTCCTGTAGCGGTGTTTATTTTTACAGGATGGGGTTGCTAGCCTCACGATCAACCTTTCCTCTTTACCAGCTTTTATCTCTGGCTTAGCGAGGTAAAGGTGTGAGTCGGCCAGGGATCGAACCCCAAACCATGTGCATGGTGGGCGAGTGTCCTAACCGCTGTACCACCGACGTACAAAAAGGAGGCGGTCTCCACGCGCCGACCGGGCTGTCACATGGCCACCATTCACAGGCGCTATCCCGCTACCATACCACACGGGGACTTCTGCCAGCTGGGTTTCCCCCCTTGGGCCGATGCGCCCCTCCTTAGTCGACCTGGACAACCCGTCCTTCAACAGGTCATCTATATCGGAGCCGTGCTTAGCGTGGATGCTCGATCACCACGAGTACCCATATGCCAAAACTAACGGTCCCGCGAAGTTCAGCACTTTGGCCTCCAAGTAGCTAGATTACAGGTGTACGCCACCACGCCCTGCCGAATTCATAATAGCACGAATAAAATTTCAAGTTTAGTACCGAATTGTTGTTTGTTTTATTTGAGTTAATGGTATCAGCGCATATAGCCTAATAAATACAATTTAATACCAATGACATAGTTCTGTTTAGAGAGAATGAACCCACACCTAAATGATAACGCAAGCCCATATTGTCAACATTCTTTGAATGTCGTATTTTCGACTGTCAGGAGGACTGTTATCAATCAAGTCGTCCTATTGCATCATTCTGTATTATATATGTGAATAGACTACATAGTCCATAGGCACAAATAAGCAATTGCCTCCAATCATTTAAAATCTACAATTCTAAGTGCACCGTGATGGCGAGTCACCTAGAATGCTCGGCTGGCCACATTGCAATTCACTCTACACCAGATAAAGGACTAGACACACTGCACTGACTAATGCCTAATCAAAACCTATTCATTAGCAAAATTAAAACAAAACTGACAGTCAGTCATATGGAAGTGAGTATTCCCAGTGGCACTGAACACCTAACGTTGAGTACAATGTGAGTTTAGATATCTAAAATGGAGTGCTTTGTATTTCCAAAAACAAAGCAGATTTCATAGTGAAACAATGCTTGAATACCTCATATATATGAAATTGGGCCACCGAAAAAAAACTATGTGTAAGAAACAATAGTAATCTGAGAATTAATACAACACCAAATCAAATAAATAAAATGCTATGAAACTTACCATCACACTAGTCCTTGGTTTATTATTCTGACTTCTGACAGTAGAGATGCTAAAAGATACCACACACATACAGTGAATTCATTATGATAGGAAAAAGTATTTAGGAATACAAGCACTTTTTTCCTAACTGTCTATTGATATTACAGTGACAAATGAATTAGCTTGTATAACCAAAAACACTGAAACTCCAACTATGATTACGCTTATAGTACTGTTAATGAGAATAATTACTGACTACACATGAAGCTTAACCTCTATTATGTGATTGTCTAAACACTATCTTTAAAACTCTGTGGCTTATAGACTAAATCACTCAGCTCTCAGACGATGGTTGACAAATAAGAATCCTGCTCCGCCTACTTCAGCCTAGGAAAGTGGGTAGTATGAATAGTCAATCCTCAAACGCTAGAATAGTATGGCTCTCATAGCCTGGTACATGAAAAATCTGTTTCAGGTAATGGACTTAAAACAAGCAAACTCTAAAGCCATACAACCTAAGAAAGGTTATATTTTCAAAACCTTTAAGACATCCTATCTATAAAGGGGTCTGTTTTTATGCAAATATTTGCACTTTTTTCGATAGGTTGAAGGATTCCATCATGAGTTGAAATCAGTTAGAGAACTATTGGAAAACCCACCAAAGAGTACTGGACAACTGTTTTGTCCTAGTTACCGGGACTCTTCAGTAGTACGCTCCCATGCACCCACCGGGGGTCGAACCAAGGACCTTCTGGTTACAAGGTGAGCTAGCTCGTAGACCATTAAGCCACTAGGACCTGATCCTTTGGCCAATCCATGAATTCTAATTTCTGTCAATTCATGACATAGCGTGACCAATTCGCAATGTCTCCTTCGATGAGTTACTGCCTCACCTTTAACCTACTGTACCCTACTGGTCACGGCTTTCCAACAGAACCCCAGGTTAACTGTCTGAATAGGACCAGTCGCTAGTGAGCATCAGATTGCAGCTCATGATGAAATCCTCCAATCAATCAAACAGATTCCCTGCAAAACCAATAATTCAAAAAAATATGCACTTTCTGTTTAAAGAAGATGAAACAGTCAGATAAGAGGGAAAAATATCACTATTTATTATTATTATTACTGATCTTGTAAATGATCTGATCTGATGAAGAGAAAAGGACTGAGAGACTGGAATACAAAAAAACGCACACAAACAACAAAACTATAGCCTACTTTTGAAATAAACCATCCAACTGAGTTGCTAATTGTACATCTTTAGTTGGTGTAGTTAATAATCCACTAGGCCTTTGATTAGTATGAACACCTTGTATACGTATCACTGTGGAGTTATTTATTTTACTTTGAGATATAGCGATAGGTTTATTTATGTTCATATTGACACTGACTGGGACAGAATTTACAGTGCTGAAATGGGATGTGACAGCACTAGGAGGATGTACAGGGATGATTGAATTTGAGACTGGAATTATATTTGATGGAAATGGTTTTGGTGAGATGATAGGTTTCGCAATACACGTGTTTACATGAGGTTGTTGTTGTTGTTGTATTTGCTGTAATTGTATATGGTGATTTTGTTGTGATTGTAATTGATGTCTATTAACAGGTATCATGTTAACATTGTTAATTCTCATTTGTGTATTAGCAGGAGCTGAAATAAAAAATAAATAATTAGTCAAAATTATGAAGTAAATAATAATCAGCTGAAGTTTACTTTTGTTACTCATTCAGCATAGGCGGGCTGATGACAATAAGTGATGATGACAGTTAGTGAAATTAATTGGTTAACCAAAAGCTTAACGGATGAAAAGTGTGTCAAACGCCAGTAACCAATCGTATGGAAAATTGTGCTCCTAGACTAAATTCTTACAGTTTCGCAGAAGTGGTCCTTAAACACGTATTATCGATTCATGCTACAGAGCGGTCAGCTTCATGTATATAGTGTTTACTTGTAGAACAAGTGTAGACAGCAATTTATTAACCACTTATAATCTTCAAAAACAACCGGTAATATTTCCGAAATATCTACACCCTAAAATACTAGAATGATGACAATAAAAAGGTAGGTATAAAACAGGCATTTATACACAAACTATAATAATTATTATTATCAAGTATTGGTTTTTGTAGGGATTTTGTTTGATTGCATGGAGGATTTAATCATGAGCTGACATCAGTTAGAGAACCACTGGAAAACCTGGGAGTACTGGACAGCCGTTTCGTCCTAGTTTGGGACTCCTCAGCAGTACGCACCCACCGGGATTCGAACCCAGGACCTTCTGGTTACAAGGCGAGCTCGTAGACCATTGAGCCATCGAATCCCGGTGGGTGCGTACTGCTGAGGAGTCCCAAACTAGGACGAAACGGCTGTCCAGTACTCCCAGGTTTTCCAGTGGTTCTCTAACTGATGTCAGCTCATGATTAAATCCTCCATGCAATCAAACAAAATCCCTACAAAAACCAATACTTGAAAATTCATCTGATGCTCACTAGTGACTGGCCCTATTCAGGCAGTTAACCTGGGGTTCTAGTGGGAAGCCGTGATCAGTAGGGTACAGCAGGTCGAAGATGAGGCAGTAACTCATCGAAGAAGACATTGCGAAGTGGTCGCGCTATATCGTGAACTGGCAGAAGTTAGAATTCAAGGACCATTGGATCGGGTCCCAGTGGCTCAATGGTCTACGAGCTCGCCTTGTAACCAGAAGGTCCTGGGTTCGAATCCCGGTGGGTGCGTACTGCTGAGGAGTCCCAAACTAGGACGAAACGGCTGTCCAGTACTCCCAGGTTTTCCAGTGGTTCTCTAACTGATGTCAGCTCATGATTAAATCCTCCATGCAATTATTATTATTATTATTATTATTATTATGAGTACCACTATTGTCATCCATTGGTTTCCGAGTCGAACACAGAGCTTCAGCAACACATCACCACCACTCCTGCACCTGGTTCTCTGTCATGACTTTTAAACAGTTGCACGACCTAACCTGCAAGCCCTCAATTCCTCTTTAAATGATCTGCATATAACTTTCGGATAACCAACCCATTGCTTCCTATTGAACTTGAATTTAAGGGCATAGTGTGTGATTTCGTTTGAATATGCCTCCACAACATATGTCTAATCCATCTCCATTTCATCCTGCATATTTGTTCTTGGTTGATTCGTCTCCAGGACTCCCTATTGCTTATCCTTTCCGCCTGTCTATCTGATCCTCAGCAAAGAACAAAGGCAGGTGATTATGAAAGTTATTCATGAAATCCATAACTTTTAGGGTCTCCTTGGCAGTTCAGCGTATGCCACTAGTCTCTGTTCTCGCAGTTTGTAGCATAATCCACTCCACCATTATAATTAGGAAGATTATCAGTGACATCAGACAGTCCCCTCTAACTGCCATGATCATCAATTCAAAGGCTTGAGTGACCTTTTCGTTATGAACTACTTAGCATGCGATATCACAATGTTGAATGTTAATTATTGTTTGCGACACTACTGTCAGTAGTGTAGGAGCAGTTGTCACATTACTTTGCCGTCGACGCTATCGAAGGCTTTTCCAGTATTGATGATGATGCATAGTGTTACAATTTGATCTGAGCATGACTATTTTCTCCTGGATCCCAAACAATGGTAAAAAATTTATTTCAAATTTTGGAATAAAAGCATAAACAATAAAATTGTCAATATCTTCAAACCTATTAGATTGGGAGATAAAAGAGACTTTACCTATTAATCGATTGACTCCCCTTCGATAACCCAAATCTTTATTATTTCCACTGTTAAGTGTTATCACATTGCTAGTAATCTTTCCTGGAGTCTGAGAGGCAATATGAATTGGGACTACATATTGCTGAGTTGGTAACTGATGTTGTTGAATATGTTGTGAACTCGGTTGAGCACAAAGGGAGACTACAACAATAAGTAAATAATAGTTTAGTGGTAATATAACAACCTTCAAATTAGAAAGTATTAAATAACATAACTAAAACAGGGAACGACATAGTTTGTTCCAACAAACAATAAGGAAACAAGAATAATGACGTGTAGTCAATGAAATCCATAGTAAGTGCAGACAAATTATTTGGCTAAACCTATAATTCCATTAGGACGAAAAACATGTCAAATATATTCAGCATTTTGCCCAAAAATTTGTGCAGCAGAATTCCTCAGTGTATACCGTGAATCAGTAATTGATTCAGTAAAACACAACTAGATTGACAAGGAAATATGACGTGTCGAATACTAATATTTCTGTATTCCAAGATTCGAACCACTCCACTTTTGTTCGCATTCACTGATACTGAATTACTGAGTCTGAAAACGTCTACGCAACGTAACAGCTGTGACATCGGTCAAGCTGATTATCCGGTGTATCGATCAACCCAATCCCAACAAAAAATAACCCGGTAAGGCCGAAAGGGGTGGGGGGTTGACTCCAGCCTTTCTTTCGAAATGCTTTCAGGTGACCACATTTTTATAGATGCTGTCAATCAGGTTCTTATTTATTGCCTTCACGTATAAGTATGCACATAGTATCGTCTGCAGTCTTACGTTAACGGTCTAACCAACCAATCATCGGTCATCAGAATATGGGATTAGCTGGCGTAGGGATAGCTTTGAGTACTAGGGCAGAAAAGACATTGCTTGACTGGATCCCGGTAGATAGCCGAATGTGTGCTGTCCGCCTGAACGGATCAGTAAGAAGGAGGAAGGACTGCACTACTCGCCGATGCCTTTTCGTAATCTCCGCCTACGCCCCCACTGACTGCAGTTCAGATGAAACGAAGGATGAGTTCTACCAAAAGCTGTCTAGTTTGGTGGAAAGGCTAAACGCTCAGACATAGTCGTTCTAGCTGGTGACTTTAACGCTCAAGTAGGGAAATTGTGTCAATCTGAGAAGGATGTCGGTGGCACCTATGGAGCTCCGTGCCAGCGAACCGACAACGGTGACCGTCTCCTACAGTTCTGCTCTGATAATCATTTGTTTCTTGTAAGCACTAACTTTAAACACAAGGAGAGACACTGTTTGACTTGGAGACCCCCTTCATCAAACCAACGCTGGACACAAATAGACCACATAGCAATAAGCTATCGTTGGCGTGGGTCGGTAGGAGATTGTCGCTCCTTCTGGAACACGTGCGTAGATACCGACCATGCACTGGTCCGCGCTCGGGTGTGCTTACGACTGAACGGACGTAGGAAACAGCTGGCGGTAAAACCATCACGTCCCCAGCTCGATCAGGAAACTAAATCCGTATTTCAGGAAGAACTAGCTAAACACATATCTGTGTTCGACAGCTGTGCTCACCCTGAAGAAGCTTGGAAAAATATCCAGGCAGCCATAGATACAGCTGTAAAAGCTGTGAATAAGGTAAACCCAAAGGTGAGTAAAAACCACTGGATCTCCACCGCCTCATCCGAACTGATAGATGCTAGAAGACTTATTCCGGCGAGCTCCGAATTCAATGAGGAGCGAAAGCTGCACAAGAGGAAACTTACGAAAAGTCTCCGCAAGGACCGTGAACAGTGGTGGGCGACAAAAGCCAAAGAGATGGAGAAAGCTTCGAGGATAGGCAACACCAGGCAACTCTTTGGACTCATCAGGGAAACGGGTGGGAGAAGACAAATCATTAGTGAGACAATCTCGGAAAAAAATGGCACTATAATTAGCTCACAGGATAGACGACTGGATCGTTGGAAAGAGCATTATGAGGAGCAGTTTAATTTGCCCACAGCCACGCTCAACCTTCCGAGCATCCAACACCTCCCTGAATGGGATATAGACACAGGTCCTCCGTCACTAACTGAGGTTACTAAAGCTGTCACCAATCTGAAACTAGGCAAAGCAGCGGGACCTGATGGAATGACGCCAGAGGTATTTAAGTACGGTGGAGACAGCTTACTGTCCGGATTAACTGAGGTACTAGGCAGCGTCTGGGAATCAGAAGAAGTCCCATCGGGTTGGTGTAAGTCACTGATTATCCCCATATACAAGAAGGGAGACAAGTCTTCCTGTGATAATCACAGAGGGATTAGCTTGACTAATATAGTATCTAAAGTCTTAGGCTCAATAATCATGCGTAGACTGAGTGGTGCTCGGGAAGCACAAACACGAGAGAGCCAGGCAGGCTTTAGACCAGGAAGAGGGTGTATTGATCATATCTTCACCCTCCGACAGATTCTAGAACATAGGCATTCCTACCGGCGTCCAACAGTCATTATATTTCTTGACCTAAAGGCAGCATTCGACTCTGTCGATCGGGAAGTTCTCTGGAGATGCTTGGCTGTAAAGGGAATTCCAAGAAAATATATTGCACTGATTAAGGCACTCTATTCGTACTCATACAGCCAGGTGAGGGCTTACGGCGAGCTGTCATCTGAACTGATGACGACCAGTGGTGTCCGTCAAGGATGCCCATTATCTCCTTTTCTATTCAACTTCATCATAGATGTGTTAATGGACTTAACCCTAGGTGACTTCAGCGATTCAGGGATTGACTTGCTACCGGGGAATAATCTCGTTGACTTGGAATATGCAGACGATATAGTCCTTCTAGGCGAAGACGCTGACGAAATGCAGAGTCTTCTAAACACCTTGAGCCGCAATCTACGAATGTTTGGCATGCGATTCGCTCCCGCCAAATGCAAGATGATGTTACAGGACTGGACTACATCGACGCCTAGTTTAAAAATAGGAAGTGAAGTGGTAGAGCACGTTGACCGCTTCACTTATTTGGGAAGTACCATCAGCCCCAACGGGCTGATCTCTGACGAAATCTCAGCACGAATACAAGGGGCTCGTTTCGCATTTGTTAGTTTACGCCGACTCTGGCGTAGACGAGATGTTCGACTATCGACCAAAGGGCGGGTGTACTGCTCATCAGTCCGCTCCGTCCTCCTTTATGGTTGTGAGACCTGGCCACTGAGAGTGGAAGACATGAAAAGACTAGCTGTCTTTGATCATAGGTGCCTGCGTTCTATTTCCCGTGTAAAGTGGCATAATAAGGTGAGCAACATGGAGGTTAGGCGTAGAGTTCTAGGTAAACAGGGGAAATCAATCGACGAAGTCGTGAAGCTACAAAGACTGAGATGGTTAGGACATGTGTTACGTATGCCAAGCCATCGCCTCCCTCGACGAGCAATGTTAGCGGATATAGGGTCAGGCTGGAAAAAAGCTAGCGGCGGTCAAACAAAAACTTGGCATCAGTCAATGAAATCCACAACAGTTGGTCTAAGCCACGTAGGAAGGTGTAGACTTCCAGGCTGGGGTCCTCGGGACGGTAAAAATCTATGGTTGGAAACAATTGGTGACATGGCTCAAAATCGTTCTCAGTGGCGCAGATGCATCCACTCCCTGTGACTTATGATCTTCAATGAAACTGTTTTGTATTTCTTTATTACTCCTTTGTCTCACACCTCTGCTCACTGTTTCTATTATGCTTTTCTTGTACTTTCTTCTCTTGCTTCGCGTGCTACACGGAATGTGGCGACTTGAACTTCCGCACATTTGTGCAAAGTTCTATGTCGAAAACAGACAGACAGACAGAATATGGGTTGGAAGATTGCATGATCACTATTTACGCAGCCAGGGGTGTTCTCACAAAATGAAAGGGTGAATGATGAAGTTCGGCACTTATAACAGGGACGGCGGACTTGTAATTCCCCTATGGGAGCTGGAAAACCTTAATTCCCAAATTATGGTACACATGAACTCCAGAATCCGGGAGGATTCAGTGACGTAAGAAACTGTTTTGGTCTCCGCATACCATAGGAATGCAGCTACTAAACTAAAGCTGCTCTCCTACCTTGTGGATCAGACTTCACCTATAAGGCTTAGGGTGTGATCCCTAAACAGTCATTTTAATTCATCAGTACTTCATTCAGAAACCTGGTCCATTTAATTTTTATATACAAATCGTTTTGGCCTGTTTTTATCACCCTTCTGTTTTTTAGTATCTCTACTTTCGTCTGTCGCTAGCTAATGTTTGAAATCCCAGTCTGTTTGTATCATTTCAATCTGCTAGTTCGCAACCAGTGATTATTCTAAAACTACGCATCGCGTTCAAGCTTGCCACCTACAATTTTCGTACCCAAATACCAATTGGACGATCTGGTCAGAACTCTGGAAAGCCTCACTATTGGTGTATGCTGCATGGGAATTTGATTTGTGAAGAATAGAATGAATTTCGTTCAGATTGTGAATGTATGGATCATCTGTTCACCTTTATTCAGTTGCCAGAACACCGTAACACGTACTGACACTAGAGACTTCTTTTGATTTGTTGGACAGAACTGTTCTTTGGAAATTTTTGTTAGAGGGTGTTCATGAGAGTTGTGTCAACATTCTGTAGATATGCTGCATATATTTCAAGACTTCATCACCACTATAGAGACGATATAGTCTTACTATGGAATAACATACATGCTTCCTAAAAAGCAATCGGTCAGTTGGCGATCACCAGCTCTAAGCATGGTATGTGCTTCTGCCAACCTAAGTACAAAGTATCATTGCATGATTGGCAGAAGCCTTCACTCACTCTCGTAAGTGAACCGTTAGAAGTGATCGATAAGTTCGCAAATCAAGGTAATCGTATGAGTACTGGAGGTGTGACAGATGAAACCTTTAACTGCATAGTGAAAACCAAAGCGGCATGTATAACAACTCGAGCTATTTACTGTCTCGGTCACGACGTCAACCTGACCGTCAAAGGTCCAGCCTACAACGTTAATGCGCGCAACCTTGTTCTACACCTGTGAAACCTGGGCGCTCAGAGCCGAAAATATGCGATAACTGTGTATTCTATCATCGTTGCCTCTGTAGAACTGATTGCATCCGGTGACATCATTATGTAGGTAACTTTGAGGTCTATTGGCGTGTCTAGACACTATGGAGGTCGTCTTTCAATAAGTGCTGACATCTTGAAAATCGGCCTTGGTGGTATCGACATGTGCCACAAACGTCATCCTCACGGTTTCTATACTGTTCATGATTTTCTAGCCCTAAGAAGGAGTGATAAAAGTGGATGGAGAGGTCAGTTTATGAGATGATGGTATTGTAGGATAGATATTAATGGTGGTAGGTTAGCAGTTGCTGGTGTATTACGGCTCCCTGGGTGGGGTCTAAGAGATAACTCGAATTAATGACTTCAGGCGTTGCCAAATATGGTTAAGAATCATGATCTATGGAGAATATGCTGCAGTTTCCTCCTTTTCTCTCTGTCTGAATGCTCTTGATAAGTATGCTTGCTTGTTCACATGATGTTGTTCCTTAGTTATTCTGTTTCTTTCCCATAAAGTGTTGAATTGGTTTTCGTGTGGCACATCCTATGTCGTGTTTAAATAATGATAACAATAACCCGGTAATCAGATTTTGTTTTTTAATAACATGGGATAAAAAAAAGCTTTTGGTTAAAAAAAATGACTCACTTAGTAGGTCTTGCAAAGATAGGGAAGAAAAACAGATCCAATTAATAAATAGTAACTTACCAGTATTTACTATTTTTAGAGATGAATTCTGACTATTTACAAAAGGCGACTGAATCATTTGCCTTTGATTTGTTGGAATGGTGTTTATAGAACTATTAACAAATTGGATATTGCTGACTGGTACAATCGTTGAATAAGACGTAGCATTGTTAATAATATGACCTCCAGTATGACTCATTACAACAGTAGGTTCATTGGTGTTTATGAGTGTGACTGAAGAGGTCACTATAGGCAGAGCGTTAGTCAACACAGCTGTTAGAGTTTTCGAAGCATCTTGAACTGAAGACGAAGCATTAGTATTGTTTTTAACACGATGATAATAGTTATTACTATTATTATTATTACTGCTAGTGATGACACTGTTTTGAATTACATTACCTGAAGTGTATGTATGCGGTGGAGATCTATAATTCACTGGTGTCAGAATGTTTACACGGCTATCAGTAGAGACTAGACGAAGATTCTTGTGACCTGAAGTTTGGCTAGTAGAATTAACTATTGGCGTTTTTAATAAGGAATTCGATTTGTTGGGATTACTGCTCAGAATAGAACATAAACGTGGAGTAGAATTTGGTTCCATATAACCAGACGATGCATGTGTTGCTTGGTTTTGCCGTACATGAAGAGTATAAGGAACACGAGAATCAAGTTTTGAACAGCTCCAGTAAATTCTTCTTGCGCTTAAAAAACGATAAAACAACACATATTTATTTATAGAAGTAAAGAAACATGCCCTGTAAAATTAACAGTTAGATTAATCTTGAACACATCAGAAATATTATTCAAAAACACACACGCACGTAAATGCTTGTCTATCTAGTGATCAGACATGACTGTTGTGTTCAGGATAATGAAACTAACTAGGTTGACCAGAGGTAAGTATAGATAGCGAAGAATTTCAGCTAATCACTAACTGCGTGATGTTTGAATACCCTTAAACAATGAGTCATAGCAAAGATGCATAAACAATTATCAGAATATTTGTTGACTGATATAGGATCAGATTGAGATAGATCAGTAACTGTCTAGTCTCATCTAAAAGTAGAAGTGTGAGGGTTACATGGCTGGAGTTCACAGGTTACTAAGACCAAATATGATTGCAAACTCCTGATGAAATACCTCAAAATCAATCGTTAATAATGCTATTGTATCTTATTTCTTTACTCTTTGTCGAAGAGTAGTGATAGTAGCCTGAGTCGACACTTCTATGTAGGATGCTATCTTGACCTACATGTTTGGAAGACTATGTCTCAAATGTTAGGTAACATAGGTGTATTGTAGTAACTAGTTCAACATGGACACTAAAATACTGCTTTGTTTCAACTACCTTCCATTCAACTGCCCCCCCTCCAAAGAAAAATATTCAGGAGACAGGATTACCACTAACTAGGCATTCAAATTTCAGCATACAAAGTTTGAGGAGACTTATTCTCTTTCAGTATACAATTGGTGGATGGTGGCTAGCAGTGGAATCCAGGATGCGCATTTCATCCTATTTGGGACTCGTCAGTCGGATGTACCTGCATTTCTCAGTAAGTGATGATGTTCCCACTGAGGCTGGGACCCAGTGCCCATAGTTTCAAACGCCAAAGCGTTATCCACTAGACTACTTGAGCCACGAGAGCCACCTCTTGTGCAACGGGTCATAATAATTATTGAATTGAATTTTTGATTTTCCCGTCGATTGTGATTGGACCGAAGTGCTCGGTCTCAGGTTGACATGTCGGCTTCTTGTGCAGATGCCCGACATCGTCGAAGCATCTGCACAAGAAGCCGACATGTCAACCTGAGACCGAGCACTTCGGTCCAATCAATCAACGGGAAAATCAAAAATTCAATTCAATTATTCTCTTTCAGGTCAAAACCATTCTCAAAGGTTCATCAAGTTGATTCTGCTTACATATTCACTTCTTTCTATACTGGTCAACTGTAAACGAATACACTACTAGACAAGGTTCTATGCTGACTAAGTTCCACGATTAGAGCACACACAATGCGAAAATTCGCTTGAATAAATCTGTTTCATGACCGTGTGTTATGGTCATTTATCCCTTGAATCCCAAGTGGTATAAATAGGACTTCAGTAGCATATCTCTACGACTGCCCGCATGCTCTCATTTTTCGCCGCACATGATTTCTCTCCCGTACCAAGACACGTTGGGGGGGGGGGACACCGAACTTTTCACTTCCCGCTGGCGTTCCACCACCACTGAAGGACCTGTCACTCTCATCAGTCTTCTCAGTGTGTGTGTGTGTGTCTAAATCCATCTTCATTCCATTCTGCATATTTGTTATTAATAATACTATAATGAAATGACTTTCTGATATTTCAAATTCAGAAAGAAAAGAGACTATGAAGCATACAAAAAAACTGATTAGTCGATGGTAGGTAGCTAATTTCTCTAATGAGAATACAGACTAAGATGGTCGGTCATTTAGCATCTCTACGTGAATTAGCCCTGCTGATGAGTTCTGACGAGTACAGCGTTTAACTGTTGAATAATATCCGATGACACATTCTAAATACCACTCTATATTTTGCTACCTTCGGGTTTATCAAATAAGTGCTTTGGATTATGCAATCAAAGTACTACAATATTAAATAGTGTCTTTGTACAGTGACTAATTCTGGAGAAGAAAAAAAACTTACCGATAATTTATAGGACATAAGAAATTACTTCTTGTGATATTAGTACGTTCTTCAGACGATCCTGGAATCCATTTAGCCATGGCCAAAGAATCAGATGCTTCTCGAACTTCACCTAATCTATCTATTCGCAAAGCTCCTATAGTAATGACAAGACTATTTGCAGAAAGACCATTATTTTGAAGGAAAGCAAGGGAATACGGTGAGACGGCAAGTTTAGTTACAGCTTCTTTTGCTGCTCTCATCAATTCAGAATGCTCTGCATCACTCATAAGAAAAGCATTTGTAATTAGATCGCCACTTAACGATTGTGGATAAACGGATGCAGCAAAACAATCAGAGGCAACAAATACTCGACGACAAACAAGTAAATCACCCAGACCAATAGGCTAAATAAAAAGAATGGGATGGAAAAAATATGTATATAGTATAAATTAGACTAGTTTCAATTTCCCACTGCAAACTCAAAATAAAACCATGAATATAAAAACTTAATCTGAAATAATAGAGAAGATTTGTAGCTCAGGTGGGTGATTTGGAATTAGTTATGTTCTCTGAGCTGGTTGTGGTTTAATTGAGAAGCTGTTGTCATCCTCTTCTGGACAACATCTTCAACGCAAGTTTTAGCACAGCGGTTAGGGATGTCACCGATCAGGCATATGGTTCAAGGTTCTATGCCCTGCCGACGCACACACGCCTGATATCTATGGTCGGCCTGCAAAATTTAGGCTACCGAAATCACATGCTGAAAATTCCATACTAGTACCAAAAATACGGTGTGGTTGCAAGCTATAATCAAAAAATAAATAATTAAATTTAAATCGTTTCATTTTATGGTAAAACTTGCGCTGAAGATGTTGTCCAGAAGAGGATGACGAAAGCATAGCAATTAAGCCAACCAGCTCAGAGAGCGCAACTCATTCAAAAAAAACCTAATCTAATATGCAAAGTTACAATGAATAACAGAATAATCTACACATACAGTATTCATAAACAACAAAAATGTAGATTTTATAACACACCACCAAAAGCACTCCAATATCTTAATATCAGTATTTCGAAATAATGGATAACAAATGCATAAATCAGCGGAAAACTAAAAAAAGGCTGTTTTATTAATGATAATTTTGATGACTCTGTTACTAATACACATTTCATAAATAATTTAGAAATACATATAAATGTTTTCAGTGAAAATAATAATAATAATAATAATAATAATAATAATAATAATAATATGGATAGTATAATTTAGAATATCGGTGGTAACGAACTAGAAAACCACCGAAAGCCAAAATATACTTGAAATTCTACACCTAGCGTAACAACAGAAGACAAGGGCCGGCAACAGATCGTTTTATTACAGAAATCAACACGTATTTATATATACTTCCTGTACATTATTATAGCTTATGCAAGTAGACAAACGCAGTCTTCTGATTGGTTGTTTCGGGTAACATCGAAAAGTGGAGTCATCTATCTGCGAACCATATTTTCCCACGTTAAGTTTGCTGTGATCGGTCGTTGAATCAGCCTTGTTCATATTTTCTCACGGCCAATATTAGTGACATAGACGTTGACGTAGATTAATGTCTACCAATTGGCTAGCAGCCTGCTCTGACCACACTAGTCTCAATGTTTTATTGAAGAGAAAGTAACAATGGTCAAAACATCCTATTCTTTCTACAACTTCTGATTGCAAAGGTCTTGTTTAACAATACAGGAAACATGAAGGGTGTTGTTGAACTCTCCTTCACGTTCCCAGTGGAACATATGACCGACGCACTACAACTACTGTACAGTAAATATGCTTTTTGGTAGGTAGGTAGCTGGATTAAGTGAAAATGATAAAATAATAATTACGCAAACATAAATAATTACATTGAGTACTACCGGCGAACCGAAGTAGATATAAGTGTAAATGAAATTAGATCATGAAGTGCATAGAGTTAAGAAAAACAAGTGACCAAAGTTTATCGATCATAATTCTATGCCTAATATCAATCCAAAAAATTATTACATATATGATTAAGAAACAGTCGAAATACCTCCAAATCATCAGTAACAGCTCGTTCTATTGAAGGGAATGCCGGGTGGTCGACGAATTCAGCAGGATCGATTGCATCAACTGACATTTCTTCATCAGATGACTGGTCATCCAATGATTCAGGATAGCCAAATTTCCGATCACGATTTGTCTTAGATGTCTTTTTCAAAGAAAGTAAAGCTTCAGCTAGACGTCGATTCACGGCTGTATGATGACACACATCAGAACAGAACCAAGAACGATCAGCAGTAAATACGCATCGTGGTAACGGAGGGCGTCGTCTCAAGGCACAGGAAAAATGTACAGCTCCTAAACAATCTAATTCGTTATCATTTGATGAGACCAATATGGATAGAGGGCAGACATCAGTTTTCATATTTGAACAATACAGAGTGGCACCATATTTGCCACAATCAGCACATTTGCTAGAACGGCCTCGACGGATGGCATCTGATAAGCCAATTAACTCACCAGAATCTTCTTCATAGACATCATTACACCATAATGCACAATTCACATGGACCTTAAAATGTGGGAAGATGAAAAAATACCAAGTTTACAATATTCAATTTTAATAACAATTAAATGGATGGATATGAGCATCAACAGCCATCACTAATATGATAAGGATTGGACAAAACGTCGTCTAATAATAACTACTTTAAACTGGAGAGATGTTGGGAGAATGAATCCAATCTGAGATCAGAAAAACAATCTCCAGATAGTATAATGAGGTGACAATATGCAATAATAAACTGCATCTACTTCATTAAGTGATGCAATTCCCTTTTGAAGCGTTCAACTGAGCGCAAGAACAAACAGACTTATCAAGACGAAGTGTGAAAATGTAGGCCATGTAGTGACATTATAGGACAAATCTACTATGAAAATCTTTAATCTATCATGCTATGAGTCATGCTTAAATTGTGAACTAATGTTAGCATCAAGGCTGAAGAATGTGAAGTGACATTTGAATCCAGGCTCAACTGGCTGAAAGTCAAGTTAAGCCACACCTTCGAAGTCAGATTGTTTTGTATTGTAGTAAATCAAATCTTTGGATTTTAGAATTATGTGCCCTAAAGGGCCTAAAAGGGGATACTCTTTTTATAGAGAGAAATTAAAACAATGCTAATTAAGGCTGATTGGCAAAAAAGAAAGAAAAATCTCGTTACTAACAGCGATACCTACCCAAGTATCTGATCCTGTATACAATAAACGACCTTCGATATTATCGTCTCCATGGTAACCGCATAACAAACAACGCCTTAAATCTTCATTATCATTCAATTGTTCCTGCAGGACATCATTAAACATCTTAAGGTGTAAATCAACATCGTTATCCATGTCGACAAAATGAAGCACTGTAACAAAACTACCAAAAATAATATGCTTTACTAATTCATCCTGATTCCAGAATTCCTCTAAAGCGAAATAAAAACGTTCTGCATCACTAAGTGAATAAGTGCGTAGTTTTTTATCATTAACATTTTCCAAAGATTGTGATTGTGTAGCTATATTTGAATCAGGTATATCTTCATCAATGTTTTCAGTTTTCACTTTCAACTCATTGACGATTTCTTGATTTGATGATGATTCGACGGTATTATTATTATTATTTACAGGAGTTTCCGAATCGCATTGAGTTGATTCACGATCATCAGAATCATTTTGTTGTAGATTAGCAGTAGAAGGCTGACTAGTACTAGGCTGAATTTCGCACTTTTTACCTAGGATAGCTTGAATAATTGATTCCGGTAGTTGTTGGGATTCCAGAAGATGTAACTTGTACAACTTTAGTAAGTGAGTTTGAAATTTTTCCACGACCACTAGACAAACAAAAAGAAAAACCAACGAAGGAAATAAACAGTTTAAGTGAATTGTTTAGATTATGCACACACACCAATCAGAAAATTTCCAGTGTATGGATGATAGGCGTCGGTGGCACAGAGGTAGAATGTTCACCAACCATTCAGGTGGTGATTTGGGGTTCAATCACCGGCCACGGACGCACTCCTTCACCTCGCTAAGCCAGTATTAAGACTGGTGAAAAAGACGTTAGCAACCCTATCCTGTAAAAATAAACACCACTGTGCTACCGAAATTTCAAAGCTCTAGCCTGACGCCCTACGTTCTACTGAGAAGGTAAGGGAATAAAATAATAATATAAAACAACATAATACAATGAAAGCATGTGGGCAGTTTGGAGCGGAGTGAAAAAGTTGGCAGAAAACAGAAGGCAATGGAGACGCACAGCTGAAACCCTATGTTCCTCTAGGAATTAAAGGAAATAATAATAATAAATAATAATACAAATAACAGAAAGACAATTATAGTAACGGATGAGATGTAATCTATAGGCACAGGCTTAGGAGACCATTTAAAAAACCGATCACTTTGCATTAAAACAACACAGATTTTACTATATAATTTAGTGTAAAATAAATAGGTTTTTACTGAAAAGACTAGAAGCGAAAAATATGACTGTTGTTGAGGAACCATTGTCTAGGTGATTTCTTGTAAACGAAAACTAGATACGATACTTATGGGTATTTTGACAGTTGTTTGAATGCCATGCGCCTAGAAAATTCATTTACATGATGATTATGACAACGTCTTGTTGTATAATCAGCAAAGACAGGACTCCAAGCGAACATAGACAAGACGGTGGTGATGAAAATAACCAACCAACAACAACAACAACAGCAGAAACATCCAGCGTCAATCATCATCAATGGGAGGAATTTGAAAGAGGTCACTTCATTCATTCACTTATCTAGGGAGCATTGTCTCAACTACAGGAACTGAGGAATGGACGGGAATGTCAAATCGAGCGAGAATCGGGAGAAAGTGAAGGTCGATGGATTGGATACTCGTGGCTGAGGAGGCCGCTGGGTGACAGCGCGCGTCAGGCCATCGCTCGAGTGGAACCAGGCCGAAAGGGAAGCGGCGGTGAGTGGGACGTCTTAGGGTGATATGGAGGAGATCGTGTAAAGAGGAGTTGAAGGAGTATGGACTAACATGGATGCAGGTGAAAAGCACAGTAGAAGGAAGACAGAAGCAAGTGGAGACATGCAGTTGAAGCCCGATGTTCCACTAGGAACCCAAGGGAGCAATAATAATAATAAATCTTATTCTTTACCCCGGCAAATAACAATAATGTGATTCCTAAAATACTTGAATGTTTATAAATAGATTGTTTATGTTCCATCAGTCTTCATATTACTGGTTTAATATAATTACCAATAAAAAGCAAGCCGCTTCAATTACCGAGGTTTTCATCACATTAACAAGCATTAAGAGCAACGAGAAATATTCTAATTGAAATATGAGTGTGTAAAGTGAGGATAGATAATGGTGTAAGGGAAGTACGCCAGCCTCACTAAAAATAATGAGCCTAGCTATCACTTAATCAGTACGCTACCTAACTTGTACGCACTGGTAACCAGACAAAAATCAAAAGACTCAGTTATATATATATATATATATATATATATATACACGAAACGTCTATCCTGTGCTCCCTGGTTTTCAATAGTTCTCTGAGTCAACTCGTGATCAAACTTGTAACCAATCAAATCCCTACAGGCCAATAATACTTGATACTTATTATAACACTAACCTACAAGGAATTTTATACACACCTAGTGCTATATCTGGAATGTAATCATATCCAGTAAGGATAAAGAATATGAATAATGATTAGAGGGAATTGTTCTTTTTAAAAAAACCTCAAACAGCTTTCTAAGAATCTTTTCAGTTTATATGTACCATGATCTGTGTATCCCAGCTTTTTTTATATCAGCTAAAGACTAATGTAGACAGTAATCTGAACCTGTTAAATCGATAGTAATTATTTTACTGATTATATAACTAGTAAAGTAACAATAAAGCATCTGGATTTCAAGAGAAAAACTGACTTTTCTCTTCAATTGAAGACCAATGTTCAATCCATCGATCATCTCTAGCAGTTTGTTTCATTTGTTCTAACATTTCCACTTCATGTGGACGCTGACAACGTGAACGTTTACATACAGACAAATATCGTTTGGCATACTCTAAAGAATTGATTTCTGTTGAATCATTCAACTCATAATTTGGATGATGCTCTTTTAAATGTTCTTGAATGCGTGAATAACATGCAGTGATATTTTGTACACTAGAAACCATTTGGCCAGATGATGGATTTCGAACACATGGACAATTTTCATTCAGTCTAGCTATCACTGGACAAATTAATTCGTGAAGTTCAATTAAAGCACGCTCATGGAAATGTTTCATGACTTCACTGAATTTACCATCAAGTTGACGTAAAACATCACGAACTGGAAATGAACAAGCAAAAAGATTTATATTTATTATTTTGACAATACATGTATACAAAGATGTATGTATATACAATTATTTGTACAAAAATTAAACATTAAGTGTTTAAAAATGTTTACCATATATGTGATATTATCGCATGAATACCTCTTAAGGTGTTTATCATATGTTATAAATAGCAAATGTATAGAGAAAAACTAAGAGTTTGAAGGCTGCAAGATCTGATGATCATCTTTAAGTATAAGATATGATTATGATTATTATTTCCTTTAGTTCCTAGAAGAAAATAGGGCTTCAGCCACACGTCTCCATTGTGTTCGCTTCTCCGCCAACGTTTTCAACTGGCTGGCTCCACGTCTGACTACATGCTTTCATCTTCACACAACCCCCTTCATGTCACCCCTACCTCACACTGACGACCAACTAACTAGCCAATTCCTATTCAGGTCGCACTTGAGTGATGGCCTGGCACGTGATGTCACTCACTTGATAGTTTATTTTCTCAGAGTATGTTCAGTCCACCAACATTTCTTGCTGCATATTTGCTACATGATTGGTTCCTGATGGGTTGGTTCGCTGATTGCCAGAGACCCCTCACTATTGACGATCTTTTCCGGTCAGACACTTTATCTGACTAACTTCACAGTAATGAAAGCTTGTCTTGCTTTCCCGATCCTCGCTTTGATATCCTCATCAATTCCGTCCGCCTGTAGTTGAAACGATGCTTCCCTGGTAGGTAGGTAAAAGAGGTTGCTTCTTCCAGGTTTTTCCCATTTATGCTGGCTGATTGTTGTTGCTGTTGCTATTGGTCAGGAATCTTCATCACCTACCACCTCTGTTTTCTCTATGTTCACCTGAATTCCCATCTCTGAATGCTTCTTCTATCGCCAACGTTTTGCTTTTCACTTGCATACCTTCCAGTTTGTAGGAAATCGGACATATATCATCGACGAAGTCCAGATCCCCCAAGTTTTTTGTGTGGGTTCATTTTATGCCTATCTCCTCGCTGCCCGCCACCGCTGTCTGTCTGTCTGTCGCATTATCCAGCCTACCGCCAGATATCAGGAAAATATTTGGAGATAGTAGACAGTCAGCCAGTCAACCTTACCTTACTCTCGTCTTCACCTCCTCGAAGGATTCCGTGAGTTCCCCGTTGTGGATTACTTGGCATACAGCATTGTCATACAACTTTCGGATGAGATGTATAATTGTCGGCTGCACCCCGTAGTAGCAGAGTAGTTTTCAAACCATCTCTCTCTCGATCGAAGTTGAGTGAGGTAAAGAGGTGACTGTCATTCCAAGCTCTGTTCAATGATGATCCATAGTATTGCGATTTGATCGATGCATGACTTGTTCCTCGTAAATCCAGCCTGTTCCGGTCGAAGTTTTTCATCCAGGTTGGCGTGTTTGATTCTCTTCAGGATGACGCGGTTTAGCATTTCGCTCGGGATGGACAGGAGCATAATCCCGCGCCAGTTCTTGCATTGACCTTAGTCTCCTTTCTTTGCCAGTTTGAATAGGTAACCTTTCTTCCAATCTGTAGGTACCTTACCCTCTTTCCACATTAGAAATGATAGTTCTTAATAAATATTTGCTAGTACCACTCAATACGTTGAAATCCAACGCAATTCCATCAGGCTTATATAGATCGTTGATTACACTGCTGTACAGAAAAGATAAAAATCTTCTTGTACTGATCACAAGAAAATCACCTCACGAATACACTACTTACAGTCGTCTTAGAATCCACGGTTATTTAGTGGCTGGTAGAAGTCGGGGGAACAGACTTGAGAAACCAAGAATGAAAAGGAATACTTTGATTAGGTCATAACCCTTTACCCATATGGGGCATAGATATACTGGTATCCCCATAATAGCCGTAAGCTGTCTCCTTGGGCTACACCCAAGGAGGTGGTTGAAGAGCCTTAGTGATAAGGATTAAAAGTGTTCGAAACTACGCGGAAGTATTTTACACTGTGTCATCGAAATCCACAATATTCTCATTAACCTTTATTACATTATTTTCACTCTAACACACATTAAGCATTTTTGCATTACTATACTTCAATTTTCTTTTGCATTTTTTCAGAAAATTGGAGGAAAGCATGTCTATGTAAATTTCTTTTCAGGTTTGTTTGTTAAACAAGCTAGAAAACTGGAAACAGTGGAAATGTAGAACTACTAACCAAAAAATATACTTGAAATGATCAACTGTAAATGTGTATTAAAAACTATCTTGTCCACAATATCGCATAGCTATTAAGGGTGAAAAACAAATTAAAAAACCAAAATGCATATCTAGAGTGAGTAGTAGGTGTTTATCCTACGACTAGGGACTGAAAAAAAAGTCACTCAAATAATAATCCACCTACCATCGCTAGCCATTTCATTAATACTAAGCCATGGGAAGAGACTCTCTGTTACAGTGGAAAGCCATCGAAGAAGTCTTCTCAATGCAACAGCCGTTGGAGAACTGACCGGATGCAAAGATAAACGTTGAAGAATTCTTATCAGTAGACGATAAAGCAACGAACGCTAGAGGAAATTATTATTTTTTCAAAAAAACACAAATAAACAATTCTGTACAATGATTTATAGGTGATAAATAAATAGTGTGACAACAGTACTAAAAAGGCAAAATACAAAGAGAAAGTTTTATACAGAAGAAAAACAGGAAAGGATAAACGCATTTCTTTTTTTTTCTTTTATCTTGTTTTTATAAACTGGATCCACATTCGACCAGCAAGGATCTGCTAATACACCGAACTAGTAAATGATGACCTCAAATGCCTCATCAAGTCTTTTACAAGCACACTCCACTGAATCTTTTCCCGGTTAAAAGCTATCCTCCCCAATACCACGAACTCGAGATTGTCTGTCTGTCTGTTTTCGACATAGAACTTTGCACCGATGTGCAGAAGTTTAAGTCGCCACACTCCCTCCTTGTACCACACATAGCAAGAGAAGAAAGTAGAAGAAATGCATACTAGAGACAGTAAACAGACGTGTGAGACAAAGGAAGAGTAATAACGAAGAACAATTTGGTTTCATTGGAAATCATAAGTCACAAGAAGTGGATGCATCTGCACCAGCCATTGAGAACGATTTTGAGCCATATCACCAATTGTTTCCAACCATTGGTTTTTACCATCCCGTCAGGAAGTCTACACCTTCCTACTTGACTGGCTGGTTTAGAATAACTGTTGTAGATTTCATTGACTGGTGAGGCCATGTTTTGGTTTGACCACCACTAGCTCTTTTCCAGCCTGACCCTATGTCAGCCAGCTAACATTTCCCGTCAAGGAAGGCGACCGATGACTAGGCATACGTAACACATGTCCTAACCATTTAAGTCGATGTAATTTCACAACCTCGTCGATTGATTTCCCCTCCTTACCTAGCACTCGACGCCTAACCTAACTCGGATTGTCAATTATGATCACATTAAGTTCAGGGGTAAACTAAAACACCAATTGTTTTATAACGTGGTAATATATAATATTATATACATATCAATACTATTACATATTTCACTAAAGTAGCAACTGAAGAGAAAAACAGCATTTAATTTTGTACTAAGATCTACAGACAGAAATATAAAAAAAGGCAGGCTACTTTTCATTACAGATGGTACTTCCTTCTTAAGATGAGATTAGTTGACTAAGAAATCCTAAATAAAAACGTACATGCTTACTACAAATGTTAATTTAAGACCAATGTATATAACATAACACCAACTGTATAACAAACACACAACTGGGAATAGTATAACAAGCCAGGAACTCAAAAAACCAATATTGATTACGAGCTAAACAAAAAACTACTCTCCAAAAGGCTCAACTTTTGTCTCTTTAGCACTTGGATACCTTACTGGATTATACATAAACTAGTAGATTAAACTAAATATAACACACGCTAGTTAAAAACCAGGAACAAGTTTCTTTTATATACAATAGCAATGGGTCACACTTATTGTGTATGCAAGGGCTGGTGATACTACTACTCACTTGCGGCCAATTTGCAGCCCTTGAGATGGAATTCGAAACTAGAATCCATCAACTGCAAATCAATGACTCAAGCCAATGAGTCATAATCTCTACAGCGTAGCTTTAGTGAGATGTTTACAGGTCAATATCGGCAACCAAGCAATAAGGGAACCTAACAAGAGTTGTTGTGTTGGTTGGTGAAATCCAGCATTAGCTATACTAGTGCTATTCTGTTAGGCCACTAAATAACCTCAGAAGCAACGACATAATTCCAATTGCACCATTTGCTTCGAAAATTTAAGTATGCTATTTTACGGACACTCCAAATTAGAGATGATGATAAACAGAAAGTCCAACTAAAATAACACCCTAGAGCGTTATAGTATCCTCCCACCAGATAACAGATGACAAACAAATGTGACAGTTAAATGTTAAAACTTCGTTTATAACAAGAAACAATTTTATTGAATTTGAGATTTTCCCGTCGATTGTGATTGGACCGAAGTGCTCGGTCTCAGGTTGACATGTCGGCTTCTTGTGCAGATGCTTCGACGGTGTCTGGGCATTTAGTTAGTATTTACATGGTGGACGGTGACTAGCAGTGGAATCCAGGATAAAGCGCATTTCGTCCTATTTGGAACTCGTCATCTGGATAACGCTTTGGCGTTTGAAACTATGAGTACTGGGTTCGAGCCTCGGTGGGAACATCATCACTCACTGAGAAATGCAGGTGCATCCGGTTGACGAGTCCCAAATAGGACGAAATGTGCATCCTGGATTCCACTGCTAGTCACCATTCACCAATTAAATAGCAAGAAACAATGTTTAAATATGTCATCAGAAGACGGTTAGTTGGTTACTTATACATTGCTGAATTAAAATTTCAACAGTTAACCCAATAAATTAAAAAATTCAATGCTTTAGTAAATTTACACAAACCGTGTGTTGTTCAATGTCACTGAATATTAACAACAGAAAAAAATTAAAAATAGGAAAAGATTGACATACAGGAGTAGTCCAGATGGACTCTGATTCTTTATCGACAAGCCAGTGTGCATTGATTGGTGGATTTGGGAAAACAAATTGACGTGAACTTGATGAACTCGAGGAACTGTAACGTCTACGGTTTGGATAAGCAGCTGAATGTACCAAGTTAGATTCATTTTTAGATAATGAAGTATTAACAGTAAGTTGAGATGGTTGATTATGGGAAATAGGTGTTGTTTCATCTGCAATTGTATTATGTAAGTTTCTAACATAATCCACAGGTGGTGTTAACAAAGAATTATCTGTTTGCAAAGGTTGTGAGATTGAATGGGATAACTCACTGACTGTATCTGAAGGAATTCCTGAGGCACTAAAAGTGTCAAGAACAGTTTCACATGATGTCTTATCAGGATGGATGGGACTGTCTATAGTAACTGAAGATAAATGATCAGAATTGGCAGAAATAGGATTAGAGATCTCTATTGTAGGATCCCATAAGGAAGCAGCAGCTTCAACTGCAGCAGTCAGCTCGTCTCCAGAATCAGACTCAACCACACCATCAGACTGAAGGTAAAAATCAAACATTAGTGAAATAAAGAGATATAAATGTCAAAAATATGATTACGAATGCTTAATTATAAACACAAACATCAAAATGTTCCTCTCTTCTTTTTTTCAAAACCAAGTTCACAACAGGAGTTTACTTCACCTTAATAACACCCACTTAGCTACATAAAAATTTCTGATTAAATAACCTAGTTGACGATCATGAATGAAAGATTTCGAAAGCCCTACAATACACTAAGCAACACATTATGCCGAATTACGCAATCAGATAGATACCGTAACCGAACAATCTTGAATCAATCAATCGCTCAGTATTGTATTACAAATGAATACCTTCCACAATCTTCGCTGCAACTTTCACTCTGCTTCAGGGTTAGGATTAGGGTAATAAGATTAAAAAATAGATTTACGGTTGAGGTTAGAGCAAAACCTGCAACGATGATTATGAACAGCATCCATTTGAAATGCTAAGCAATGTGACTATCACCACTAGGCTATATTCAGCATAAATTCAATCATTCATCAGAATTAATGGGGATCCTTTATAACTGGTTTACTTGATATAGTCACTCATGGAAAACTGAAACCTCTTTTTACAGCATATTAGAGACATATACCCTAATGTATTAATTCCTTTCTGTTATACATATATTCAGTAAACATACTTTGCTATACTACCTAGCAGCACGTTGGTTGGTTCAAGGTCATTTGACTGTGGTACTGCCCAAAAAAGGTTTTCGAAACTCATTCATTGAAAATAACATGCTCAGGTTATTCAGGGAAGGAGTGGTATATCAACTATCACTCGGAATCTTATTACTACTCACAATCCACTTGCCTAAAACTTGACATAGAATTAATTTCACAAGTCTTCACTGAAGAAGATAAAGCCTAGATCGAAGTCGACAGTTTTATAAAGGATAATCAAAGTTCGTAAAGCCAACAAACCGGCGAGAATACTTCTCAAATGACCCGTGTGTAATTATTACATCATACTGAGAGAAAAAAAAATAATAACTTAAGAAAAACAAAAATTAATTAATATCATATCAATAAAAGTAAACATACCTGGGGAACCCACAGTCCCGTTGTTGTGTGCTCATCTTTATTAATTCCATTAGTCCATAATCCTGAAGATTTCCCAATAGAACTAGCTGTTGGACTATGGAAAAAAACGGAAGATGGTGAATTCATTGATGTACCAGCATTGTAGTCAATACTAATAGATTTACGACAACTTTGTATTAAACCAGACATCCTTTCCATAAGTGTTTCTTGTGCTAAAAGTCGTAATTGCTGTGCACCACTATCTGCAGAATCCACAGCTTCATCATTATCCTCACTATCTTCACTCAGATCAGTTGTACTTTGTTGTGCAAAGTCATTCTGTTTATTAGGATTATTATTATTATTATTACGGGAAACATTGAATTTTTGATGAGATCTTTGTTCTTTTTGACATGCGGAACAGGTAACAACGAATTTACTCAACTGTCCATCAGGAATCCTGGTAATCAATTCATATTCATCAACTGTGGAAGGAAAATATATATATTTTACAATGTCAGTAGTTTTAGCTACACAAAATGCTTTCTTAAATAACTAAAGGAAAAAATCAATATGAGTAAAGGCATAACGGTTGGCTATTAATATCACCTTCAGAGCAAATAAGATCATGCATAGTGACCAATAGTATTAAATCACTGAAGAACATAGATCACATTTGTGTGTATGTGTGTGTGTCACATAATCGGGTTTACAAAACAATACTCATAAACTTTAACTTATGCTGAAAAGTAAGCATAATCATTTCTTGTATGGCAGTAGTGGAAAGTCAGTTGAATAGAATCGACAATTCAAACTGTACACCCATTTTGAAAGCCTAATGAACATTATTTCAACAACAACAACACCAACAAAAAAAACATCAAAAACTCAATAAATAAATACCTGTAAGCTTTGTGCAAGTTCTATGCATCCAAAGGCGGCAACTATCACACTGAATCATTTGTTTGGTGGTTGATAAATACACCCGCTTACACTCTGGACAAACATGACCTCGAGATTCAGCCTCACTGCATGCAGCACACTTGGTTGTTTCGTGTGACCAGGCTGTATGACTGCCTCGAACTGTTGAAACAGACGTACTACCACTACCATCAGTGGTTTCAGCTGGTTTACATGCTTTAACACCACAATGCAGACAAACTGAACATTCTGGACAAGTCTAAAATATATATTTTTTTTTGAAAAAACAGATAAAATTATTATACACACTACAATTTCAAGAAAGTAGGAGAATTATAATGTCTGCCTGATCTGTGAATACAAGAAATCCTGAAAAGTCATCTTAGATTTAAATGATGCATGGAAGAAAAAATCGGAATTAAAAATTTTTGCACAATACAAAACAAGACGCTCACTCAGTGGTAAAACTGTTTAATTCGATAATAATTAAACAGCATTTTGTAAAGTTCCGGAAATAAAGAGGGTACGCAATTTCATGTTAGTTTTTTTCTTTATAATAATTTAGTAGGCAGGGATACATCACTTACTGTATGAGGTTCCGAGTAAAAATTTGTTCCGTTATGGATAAGATTTTATTTTGATAAATCACACAGTGTTATACAGTAATATTAACTGATGACCACATTTCCAGAACAAATTACTGCTCATAATCATATCAAGTTACTCACACAACTTTTTCCTTCATTTCTATACATGTGTGGAATCGATTCGATATTGGAATAAAAATCAATATGGGATAATGTGCATTCAGAAATAATAATACGAGTGTTATTGATCAATTACCATCACATGGGAAATAAGACGAGTTATGTATGTGAATTGAAATAGAATTTCAAGACTATTTATCATCCTCCTCTGATTTGACTGACTAGTGGTAATAATATCTTCCATACCTTTCTGGTATTTGCATTGAGTCATTTCTCTTCCATGTGTTGGGTGTAGACTCAATGAACCAGGCAGGATTCAGTAATCAATCTCTCTCTCCACCTACAGAGATTACTTCTTAGAATCTTAACCCTCTCCCACCCTATTGTGTGGTTGTGTGTTAATGCAGTGTAGTGCTGAACTTTTTTCTAAATTACTGATCTTCTGGGGATCAACCATTCTTACCTTAGCTAAATTCTTATGTTCCAACAATCTGATCACCTGCGATCTACCTATATAGTTGACCTCACAGTCACTGCAGGGTATTTTGTAAATAATATTATTTTGTTTAATTGGGTCCACCGGGTCTTTTAGTCTAGAGTTTGTAGTTTCGAATGCCACCAGAATTCCTGCGTTATTCAGATTCCTACGTAGAGTCTCAGATGTCCCCTGCTTATATGGTATGACAGTAGATGACTTATATCTTCTTTTATTTATGTTATCATCACTAGTTTTACAATTATTTTTTATTTGCTTTTTGCCTTTTTCGATCTTCCTTTCCGCATAATTATATTGAATAAACCCCGGCTTAGTTAACTAATGACTAACCGGAAAAAAAGAGGGAAGTTGTGCGTGGGACTAGCCATCCCACTCCGGGAAATCAATCCAATCGTTACAGGAACCTCAAAGCACGCAAGCATACAACTCTCGAAATCACTTACATCTCTCTAAGGCATTATTCCATTGTTTTTGTTAAAACCCAGGTTTTTCCAAATACCTCCAGAGGAATGTTAAATCATTTCAGTGACAGGTATTTAATGGAATTATATTAGTAGTATAAAGTAGACATCTTTATGCAAACTGCACAAAACCTAAGTTTAGTGTGCATTACTTTACTTAATTGCAAGCGAATCAATAGGATACGTAACTACAATTAGTTTGGTTGAAGAGTTCAAGTTCAAATAAGTTTTAAGTTACATTTCAATAGTTACACACAATGATAAGTTGTTTTTTTTTTACTTTTGGTAATATTTAGAGCGAAATTACTGTCTGTGATCACGCCAACTGTTGGAATTGTTTTGTCTTTAATTCATTTACCTGTTCTCAACTTTGTGCTGATCCTATCTTTCTTGAATTAGTGTTTCCCCTCGATAAAGATGGTAGTTGTGCACAAGCAATATAAATATTAACCTTCTCAGTTAGTGAAGGTTCACAATCGGATTAAGTGGATTGCATTCTTTTGATTCTGTACGCTAAGTGACTTTAAGAACTTAACGTATCAGAAACCAATAAACTTGCTTTTCAACCCTTGACAGCGACACTTTACACAACAAATCACTAGACTAGTTACCCATTATTTGATAACGACTATTTTTCGAAAGCATTGACGGTCAGTCGTCTATAGTCCATCAACATTGGTAATCAAGGTGTATTCCTAAAGTTCGGAAAAACCTTCTCTGTCCATAATAAAAACAAACCTATTACTAGAGAACAGTAAGGAGCAAGGTTTAGATATCAAACAAAATTTAACTATAACGATTATTTTCGATAAACTACGTTAAACTGGGGAGGAAACATACCACTGAACTTACCCAACTCCCTCTTTGACTAGTTTGAGATGGTGGAAAATCTGATAAACAATCTGGATGATAACCACTGGAACAGTGTATACAACGCAAATCAGCAGCTCGACGACGGCAGACTTTACATGTTGTACAATTTCGACATACAAAATATTCTTTTTTACGTGGTCTGAATTGACGTTCAACACAATAAAAATGAAAAGGCTCAGCACAGGATACACAACACAACATCTATAAAAAGAAAAACGTAAATAAAAACCGTGTGACTTAGTATTTCCACTTGTGCACGAACAACAAATATCTATCTCTCCTATGAATGAAATTCAACACCAATTACAGTAATACCGTGTTGTAGGCTTCAATTTATCGCTGATGCTCAGGTAACATCTTTTACTACCAACTAACATCAGACAAGATTGTGTCACTTATTAGGCTGATCATATAGCACATTTCATTGGTGTATATTTTGACCACAGTGCATAGGAATCAACAACTAAATTAATTACTAATCAGTAAACAGTGTCCATTCATGTATTTATTCAATGGTTCAAATGCTTTTATTATGAATATCTTACAGATATTGTACACATCTCCATGGTCACTAACTAAAACGCATATTGCTGAGAGTTATGTGCCGAAAAAGTACTAAACAAATTAACTGCTGCAAACACACGTCATTGAAACGCCGTTTAAATACAAAAAATCCACTGACCTTTCAAAGTCACTTGAAAAATCAACCAATTACTGACAACTTGAATATATAAAACAAGAATGAAATTTTATAGGATCTATGACACTTTAATAGCTTATCTACTAAACACCATAGGATATTAAGTCCCATAAGCATCAGTATATTGATTAGATCTTTCTTATGGTACATAAGAATGCTTGTAAGCTTCAGTGCTCAGTAGTAATATGAATACACAAAAGGCCATAGTTCTCAGTTATCTTGGCTAAGTACTTTGAACCAATGAATCCTGAGGTTTAAACCTAGTCACTTCTACTTATCGAAATAACATCACTAATAGCCTGAAATATAGCACTTGTATAAACCTGGATAAAGTTGCTGACCCAGTTTAGATATAAATATATGATTTCCAAAATTAATTATCAACATACTGAGCATACATCTAATTTCTAAAGGGTTGAAAACACTACGACTGTGGTTGATAAGGTAATTACTACTAACCTTTCATCAGGGAACTTGAAACAATGTTACTCGTACATATTTGAGTGGAACAGGTTTAGAGAATATTGGAACTTGCACACACTAGACAAGACTGAGGATATTATGGACCCTATGTATTATTGATATCAGTAAAAAACTTGGGCAATGTGGTAGAGTATAACTCCATTATGGATAACATTTTATTTTATTACGGACCTATCTCGGAGTCATGAAATATTAAACCTGTCACAAAACAGTAGAAATTGAAATTGATATCATAATAAATATAACTTGGCTACCTGTTACTAATTTAGATGCTAGTCTGCAATCATAAATTGGTACGATAATTCACTCTTTATTACCCGACTGCTCAGATCAAAGCACGCCGAACAAAAGTCTAGCCAAGAAATCATCATTTGAAAGTCAAGTTCCCAAGCCAATAGGCTATAATGCCCTAAATACCAGCTGTGCTGCTGCTTTATTATGTTTAACACAACTGATATTTTGGTGAAGAGTGGTCCGCTTACTGGTATAAACATTATTTTCAATCAATGGATCCCGGGTTCGAACCCCTTCTCTCCACCCACTTCATCAACTTGCTCAGCGCATTCATACAATATAATTGTAGCTTGTAGCCTATTCCGGGCAACCGAGTAGAAGTATGGATCATTCAGTTGACTCACACTCATTTAACGGACTACTCAGTGTGAAGGCGGTTTATTAGTGGAATATTTCAAACCTTTTAAATTCTATCTATTCAAATGTACTGACAGTTATATACATACAAACAAAGAGATTTGTTAAAATTGGGAATGAAATAGCTATGAGTCGAACACATAAGAAAATCTACAAGATAAATAGGGTGCAGGCAGATGAGAAAAATACGCGAATCAAAATATTAGGGGTGTTAAAGCATAGAAAAAATTTTACAACACACACACATGAGGATAATCAATACCTTAATTGTTGTCTCTCATCAAGTAGTGTTACAATGTTGTATGAGTGTAAAAAGAAGGCTTAGAAATTAAGTCACAGAATACATGAAAGCTCTGACAAACAAACAAACAAACAACACGGTTAAGCCAAGGGATTAAAAGCAAGTAAAGAAGAATCACATAAAAGCATTTGATCTTTCGGTATATAAAACAATTCAAGTGAAGTACAAAGAAAAAAGGGAACAAAAAGGGAAACATGGTAGTAGTAATAATAATAACAAATCGACTTACTTGTCCACCACCACTACCACACACATAACAGATCTCCTTAGGTGGAGCTGCAGCTGAAGTAGTTACAACTGGATAGCCTCCTTGTATGGCTAACTCACTATCGATAATTTCCTATACACATTTGAAAATAAAAATAAATGATGAATGTGATAATGAAAGTGGAAATTCATGACTGGACTGAATTTAATAATTTAATTTTATTTATTTATCTTATTCATAATAAATTTGTATACTATTTCCATTTTAGATAGGATTACCTACCTACTGGTATATCGAACAAACAAACAAATCGGTAACTTGAGCATATTTTTCATTGTTGACCGTGAGATTATCAGAAGTGAATTACTTAGCGGAATAGTGGTAACAAAAAATGCATAACGAGAACGACAAAGAAAAGAAATTGACAACGATGAAGTATATAGTGTAGTACAGCATATATATATATATATATATATATATGACCAATTCGCCTTATCACCACGCAGCCCAATGGCTGGCAGATCTACTAGAACCAATCAGAAGACAAGTTTCCTGCCACACAGTTCGAGATTCATTCGACTTTATCGATTCAATTGAAAACATCAACGTATCCAACAGGACCATGATCTCATTATTAGATGTCACATCACTATTCACACAAATGTTCCACTGACTGAAACAATATGCTATATATGCGAACTTATTCATTCCAAAAGAAATAAACATCGGTATACCCACCGAGCGTCTTAAAGAACTCCTGCTGAGGTGTACCCTGAATGTTCAATTCTTTTTCAACAACGAAATATATCGTCAAAAGGATGGTATGGGCTCACGACTAGGCCCATTGCTTGCAGATTTCTTCATGGCAAAAGTCGAAAACACGATAGCTTCGAAATCTACAAAAGATACGTCGACGACACTCTCATTATCGTCGACAAGGAAGAAAATCTAGACGACATCCTGAAGTTGTTTAACAACTGCTACCCCACGATTCAGTTCACAATGGAGAAAGAGTTCAACTCCAAAATATCCTTTCTTGACGTCCAACTAACAAGACGAGAACAGGATGGAACACTGAAAAGATCTAGCTACAGAAAGTCAACATGGAACGGACAGCTTATTAACTTTCACAGTTGGGTACCCCTATACACCAAACGAAACCTGATCCGTTCACTCAGCTACAGAGTTCGCAGAATTTGTATCCCGCACACCGTAGAAGGTGAACTGGACAATCTCAAGAGAATCCTCGTCGAGAATTGTTACCTAGAACGATTTATTGCAAAATCTATGAATCCTACACCACAAAAGCCGCCCATGCTTAGCGTCCCTAAAAAACTACTCTACATGAATCTTCAATTCAATGGAGATATATCTGCGGAAACACTAAAAAATCGAATGTCGCGCTTACTCAAGAAGACCTTCCCAGCTGAACTACGACTAACCTTCTCCACAAAACCTATGATTCATGTAAACGTGAAGGATAAGCTACTACTGCTGGCCTCAACAATGTGTATTTATCAATTTACCTGCTCGTGTGGAACCAGGTATGTCGGCCGTACCCAGCGTTCGCTTTCTAAGTGTATCACCGAACACTTACCAACATGGTTTTACAAGGGAGAAAAACGATGTCCCCGCAGCTCCATCTTAGAACATCTGACAGAATCTGGACACCAAGCTGCACCCCAAACAAACTTCAAAGTCGTCTACAGAGTAAGAAGTAGTCTTCCTAAAGGTGTACTAATCAGATTTCTTCAAACTGCAGAAGCAATGGCGATTCACTTGCTAAGGCCCGAACTTTGCATCCAGAAGTTTGTTCAATCACTACACTTGCAATGGACTTAATCCATCTTACTACCCGACAAATAAATTCTACCTAATCTTTTTTTTTCTGTCTCTTCATTAGAGTTATTTTGTCTTCTCAATTGTAATATTTTGCATTTTCAACTTTCTTGTTCTCTACCCCTACCCGATTTAATTTCTACACCTCACTACCACTGTTACTGACTTGACTAACGCTCAATTTCTAGTCATTTATGTTACGTTATCCAACTTAATTGCTCAAATTCAGTTCTAATTTAAATGGTATTATTATCTACCCCACTTCTACTTAGTCTCTACCTGAAATTACCTCCGGCGCTACCCTGACCTAAGTTGAAACATTTTAGTCAATTATATCATGTCATCTGACTTACTAACTCAATCTTACTTTAGTTGCTGTCCAATTAACCTTCATTCTTTTATTACCTGATCAATTATCTAAACTTGACAAACCTCATGTACACACACACACACAAATAATTATATATAAATGCGATTGTACAGTTATGTGAATGAATTCGCCGAAAAGAGTCTCTTCGCTGAACGTCTTCTCTTTTTCATATGACTCAATGGGGATTTTCAAGCCAGTTTAAAAACAACATCTTCATTAGCACAGTTCTTACCCCTTCAACAGGTCGCACACGATCAGAATCTTCATTCTCATCACCTTCATTATTTGAATTGAAATGCATACCCATATCTCCGCCTCGAATGGGGGTTACTTGCAATTCAGGACCCACGTGTAAATTATTACCAGCACGTCTTTGCTTACGATAAGAAATATTTACTCCGTTGGCATGCAGTTTTTGTGAACTATCTGAAGATAACCAAGCATCTAATTCCAGTTTCTGTGCTAATCCTGGAACGGTTTGCAGTAAGCTAACAGATTTATCCAGTCCATCTTCAGATTTATTTGAAGAATACCTACTAGTGACATGATTAGTATTACTAGTTGATAAGGCGCCTTTATATCCACATATAGGCAAATTGGTATTGGGACTTGGTGATGAATGGTTCGACGGGAATTTAACCTAGCAAACGTTAAACAAACAAAATAAGATATTTGTATTCCATAATAAAATAAATATGAACCTATAATGAGTAGAACGACAAGACTTTGTATATAAGGAGCTAATTAAGATGTATACGTTGGTTTCAAGTTTGTTGTATCGTATTATTAGGAATTCATGTTGCCTCTGAGTGATGAAGTTTCAAATCCCCCCCCACCGCCAAAAAAGGATACAATCTTCTTTAAGACAAATACACCCTGATTATTTGTGTATAAAGGCAAAAAACCTAAGTCGGAGGAGGTTTGACTGTGAACTCATTACCCTTCATATAATAATAAAACTGTGCTGAAACGTTGTATCTCTTAGCTACACTACCCACCCATTCAACCGATAGGTTTTAATCAACATTTAGGCAAGTCCAATTACATTGTTTGTCATTTAGTTGGTCAGTTAGGAATCAGTAATCCGATACAGGACTATGAGACAATCGATAAGCAATTCCTGTAAAATAAACCATCCTTAATTAGGAAAGTAAGACAATCATCACACGAAGACATGTGATTCGTTTTAAAGTTTATTCAGTTCCAAGATAAAGATCCAATATAATTACTACTGAATTCAGATTGTGATGAGTTATATTCATGTAAACCTGACACCGTTGAATGCATCCAATAGTCAACGGCTTTACAATCTGCCCTGGATTATCCTTATATATATATATATATATATATATATATATATATATATATATATATAAGTCTATAGTGAAGCAGTCTGACTCGACACTCAAATAATTCCTGGAAATTCGTAACATCCACGGTCTGGAAACTCATAAACACATAGAGGCCACTTATTTGATACCTCAGAAGAAATTTTATACACTGTTGAATTGATGGTATCAGGCAACACAAACAGACGCATTACGTGGATTCGCTACACTAGCTTACACTTGTAACTTAACACTTATTTAACTAAGATAATGTAAAGGAAAAACAATTTGAGACAGTCGGTGGAGAGTGATATGGTCAAAAGTAGGCCTTTCAATGAGGAACAGAATATTATAAATAGAGTATACAGTGCAACAAGGACACAGCATCGGTTCGTGAACACATTAGCAGTGCAGGTAGCATAACGGAAAATGTCCAATGACTACAACTATTCACAGATAGCTAAACTACATCCAAATCTCCGTTTAAAAAAAGCAACAACAAGATAGCAGCTAAACAGCCAGTCGCTGAGTGAGATAAACTGTCGAATTTTCTACATATTCATACGAGACCATAATGATTGACACTAGCAAGAGCTTGTCTGGGTTAACAGTTATTCATACTATAAACAAAATAGTCATTTATTCAGATGAAAATATGAGAAGAGCTTACCCTTGGACCTGACTTTAGACCCACCTCTGTGGCGGAAGCAGCGGCGGCGGCAGCAGCAGCACGACGTCTAAAGCATATCAGCTCCCTAGATACGAAGATAGACAGTAGTTTGGAATGTTTTTAAAATCGTGAACAACATCATCATAAAATTAAAAGAGTGAGCTAATAGTACATGTTTGGACTCAATGACACTGGACAGGTTTATCATGTAACAAGATAAAAGCCACACTTATCGTTTGAGGCATGATGATACTACAAAGCTGGTTGGTTTAAAGTAGGCGGAGTGAGTGAGACTTGGACCAATCATTTATCGCCTAAAAACCGATACTTAAGCTAAGCCAATAGTAAATGGGTAAAAACTGTAGATGAAATGCTTTGAGTCATACATACGTGCTGATAACAATTTCAATGCACTTAACTCGAGTACACTTTAGTTGCTATATTTTCCAGTTAAAATGATAGTTATTTTGGATGGATATATGAAAGAGATTATTGACAGAAAACTTGAGTAATTTTGTCTCATTTGATGAAAATAATACCTGAGCAGGCAATCAATTTGTCAATGATGATGTTAACGCGTAGGACCAATTTAATTACACTAAGAAAATTAACCATTCTACAGTAACCATTTTATGCAGCACTACTATATATCACTCCAAGTGGGATGTAAATCGGCAACTAGTATCTAACTAAATTACTACTATAACGACAGAAGACAAGGGCCAGGCAACAGATCGTTTATTTACGAAATCAACACATATTTATAGATTTTTATGTATATTATTATAGATTATTATAAGCAAACAAACACAGTGTTCTGACTGGTGGTTTCTCGCTGAACACTAATCTTTCATCTCTTTGTGGTCATTTCTTGAAGTTCAGATTACCTATCTGCAAATTGTATCCGCCTACGTAAAGTCTGCTGTGACTGGTTGTTGAATCAGTCTTTGTTCTTATTTTTCTCACGACCAATATTGGGGACGTCCAAAATGACGTAAATTACTGCCTACCAGCAGCTAGCTCTCACCACACTACCACTACATTTCTGAACGGTAGGCTTTTTTCAATTTGCCTCCCATTCCCGCTTAATAGGATGTGTTGGATTAAAATACTTCTGGTAATGCTAGATACACATGCTAACAAATTCGTGTAATGGAGAGCCAGTCAGTGATACTTATTAGCACACATACCTTCATTTGGCTGAAAAAACAAACACGATGTTTCAAAAACAGTGAGTGTCAAGGACCCCCGGCGGAAAGTATGAAACATCAGTCGCCTACAAAATTTATCATATGAAAGATATCGATGGCTAAATGTACAACAGATTTTAAGGCCTATGGTACTCAAAACTATCACTCAAGACAGATCAGGTCTGTCATAGGTTATATTAAGACTTCATAACTTTTAAATAAGGCTAGTGGATAATCAAGGTATTAATTCGAAAGTTTACAATTCACTAACGTAACCTAATATCGCAGTTAAGAAACTTTTATGAAACATACAAAGCTTTTTATCAGAGAACTAAATAGATATCACGCATGCAAAACTGTTCTGCTACACAGATTACTCTTAACATTAAACACAACTCACAGTTTACAATCCAGTGTTCTCACAAATTATTTATAACAAATTAATTATAACAAAAAAATAATCAAATAGACACACTTCAAATCAATGACTTACTTGCAGGGTCTACCTCGTGGATCATTACTACTCACCAATCTGTAAAGAGAGAGAAAATATCCCTTTCATACCAAATAAAAGTTAAATCAAACAGAAGTATTATTAGGGCATAAAGCATAAGTGAAAAGTAGAAAGAAGAATCATGCTACTTCACTTTAATTTAAGTAGTTGAATTGAGTTCATGTGTAAAAATGCATTCACACTCGAAATGGAGAACGACTCTAGCATTCATCTCCTCGATGTGAACTTATCAAGAAGGACCGATGGAACTCTGAAGAGATCGATTTATCGTAAGCTGTTATGGAATGGTCAACTGACAAATTTCTACAGCTGGGTACCCATTAGTCGAAAACGAAACCTGGTCCGGTCGCTTACCACTCTCGTATTCGACGCATATGTAGCACTGATACTGTGGAAGATGAGTTATACACTTTGAGGAAAATCCTAATGGAAAACGGATTTCCACCACGTTTATAGATAAGAATATACATTTAAAGCCTACAAAACGTGACTTATCAACCGTTCCCAAGAAAATACTTTACATGAGCTTAGAATTCAAAGGGGACTTAGCTTCCGATATCATGAAACGAAGGATATCACAGTCCCTGAAAAGAACATTCCCTGCTGCATCTCTGAGAATAGCCTTTACTAGCCGACCATTATTGTTCAATAACCTGAAGGACAAGATCCCGCTGTTGACCAACTCTATGTGCGTTCATCAATTCACCTGCTCTTGTGGAGCTAGGTATATCAGTCGTTCAACTTGAGTTTTGTCCAAGAGGATGCAAGAACACTATCCTGAAAGGCTACGAAAATGTGGAAGTGGAGCAATAAGAAGCGCGATCACTGAACATCTGGTCGATAATGACCACCCTATCTCTATAGCCTCCGCCTTTAAAGTCATCTACAAGGCAAAGAGTAATCTATCCAAATCCCTACGTACCCGACTTCATCTGTATTGCTGAAGCTTTAAAAGAAAAGGCGTTCAACGAAGAGTTACTCGTTTCGGAGATATCATTCTCGAATCGCATATATATATAGTAAATTTTATTAGCAATAAAATGAACATTTCCAAAGACGTGTCATTAGAAGTGTAAATTTTAGATTACATATATCGTTAATGGGTTAGAAACTAAAATACAATCATCAAATAAGCATGCTGAGTGACGTAATCTAAATGATAAGGTTGAGTAGAGCTCAATTGAACTAAAAGTCAAGTTAACAACAGTGGTAATAAGAGGTAGAGGCATTTTTCTACAAAGTCCAAACACCATGGTAATTGATATGCAAAATACTCACTAGTCGAATGGAGTATAGCAGGAGTAAAGCCTACCTAAGACATATATTGATTGGTTGAACAGAAAGCAGTTTTCAATTAAGAGGTTCATTCATACGGGCTGATGTAGCGGATCCCTAAAAGACTCCATCACCTTGAAAAAGATTTGACGATTTTCAAACCACTGTTTTCCAGTGCTTCACACAAATTACCGTTCAGCTTTCAGTCACAATGAATTTACACTAAACAACTTCTAAAATTAAGCTATTTGAATGGTAAAACAAACCACGCTTTTAAAATAGGGTCTATTCATGAAAAAAGATAGTTAAAATAAATTAAATAAACTCCAAAGTTAAACATTTCCTGAGAAGTGAATAAGGTAATCTGTTACTTACCGACAGTCATTACATTTTCCACAGGGTTGTGTAAGACCCAAACAGGCATCGCACTGTCCACATCGCTTTGGTAAGTGAGCTGTATTTTGACTGGTACCGCCAAGTTTTGTAGGATAGAGTGAACCTTGTGGTACTCCACCTTGACCATTAACACGAGAGTCAGGATGCTTGTCTTTCATCCTATTCGAATAAGCAGTGGAAGCAGCTAAAGCAGCATGTACTGGACTAACACCTCCGGGAACTTTGGCGCCAATCGCCGCCAATCGAGCAGCGTGTACCATTGCAGATAAAGTTGAAGAGTAACGACTGTCTTCTGCAATTATACAATAAAAAGGAATTAAATCAGTACCTTGAACCCATAAAACAACTTCAAGTGACAAAAGACAGTATCGACAGTATAGACCTGTGCATGAAGATCATGGTCAGAATTAACTAGATTTTTACTGATTTGAAGAAACTGTCTAGTTAAATAATTCTTGATCCTAGTGAACAAAATAAAAAAACAGTAGATAATAGGCTCACGCCTATTTTACTCCTTTCTTAAGTAAACAATTAGTCCGTATTACATAAAAACAACTAGGATATATTGATCGGAACTTAGTTTACACTGAATTTCACTCGTGCTTCCATATTATAATTTTTTTAATTTTGATCATAGCTTGATTCCGCGTCGGTGGTATAGCGGTTAGGATGCTCGCCGACCATGCAAGTTGCCCGTGGTTTGATACCCGGCCGACGAACTCCTTTACCTCGCTAAGCAAGAAATAATGCTGATAAAAGAGGGCATGAGGCTAGCAACCCCATCCTGTAAAATAAACACTGCTACAGAAACTTCAAGCCACTAGCTTGAAGCCCTGTGTTCCACTGGGAACGTGAAGGAAAAATTAAATTATTATAGCTTGATTCCACATCGCATTTTTGGTACAAGTATGAAATTTTCAGCATTTGTGATATCGGTAGCCCAAATTTTACAGGCCGACCATTGATATCAGGTGTGCGTCAGCAGGGGATTGAACCCCGGACCATGTGGATTGTCGGCGAGAGTCCTGTGTCACCGACGCAGTTGATATGGGTTATGAATCATAAACTGTGTTCGAAACGCTACCCAGTGAATAATACTAACCTACTGTGTAATATATCCAATAAACGAAATGATACGGAATTACACAAAAGTGTCTAGTGAAAAACTTACCACGATTTAGAGAGAGCCGGCTGACCTGTTTGACACGTGGCTTAAGGCCTGTTACCGATCTATTACTGCACTTTTCTTCTTGCCTGTTATCATGATGATCATCATTTGATTTGTATCCTTTAGAGGAAGATTTAGTTGAATTTTCAAGCAAATTGGTTTTCTTCACTTTTTCATTTGAGTGCTTTTTATCATACCAAGAAAGCAAGCGAGATTTCGTAGCTCTTTGTGAATGTCGAGCAGATTGCTCCAATTTTTGACTACTACTTTCCTCGGAACCATTACTTACTTCAGAAGACGCTCTACTTCGACGCCCACCACTCATGAAACCTAAGTAGCCGTCATAATCATCTATAAAACGATGCTGGATAATTTGAGAAAACATAATAGAGATATGATCACTATTAAGAACTCATAAACAGAAGTAAAATGTTATCAACAGAAAAAAAAACTTAGTCAACTGAATAGATAAAAACAAAGCCTTTACCGTCTTTTTTATTCATTCGTATCCAAATAGCTTTGTAGATATGGTAAAACCCAAATCACATGCTTCTAATTTGTGCAGATATGGACAAAATATCTGACATGAGGACATTTTGAGTGGTAGTCAAGCTTTTTCCTATAACTATCGCGACTCAGCTGCCAAAACAGTCAACTCTCAAACAATCATTTTTTAATTTCAAAGTTCTTTAATTAATAAATTTTACTACCCGTTGGTTATAACTGTTACGATGTAGTCCAGTGTGAATACGAATGCTGACTAACGATAACGAAAGCTTGATGTCTTCTCAGACGATCATCCCCTGACACGAATAGTAAATTCCAAAAGACACACAGTAGATTCGGAGATGTGTGTCCCGCAATACAAATAAAAGAGAAAGTGACAAGGAGTACAAAAATATATGACATATTGATTCAGCCATAAAGTGGGCGTTAATTGTATACCGGATTCTGATTGGTTGGCACCCATCATGTGACAACATGTGAATTGTTTTTATCTGACCAGTCTAATGAGACATCATGGACAAATATCAGACTGACAGGCTAATGAGATCAATTGTGGGCACACACACACACACACCAATAACACGAATATTTACTTGGTAACTTAGATGTTTGGAAAAGACTATTAAGACATATATGGACATTTAAACGAACTCATCGACCGAAAGATATGTGTGTTGACAAATGATCACACATCGCTAAATGGAGTTATTATTATCTAGTCACCTATTCATAGCCAAGCACAGCAACAGTAAAGAATAGATACCAAAACAACCTAGATGAAGTTTGTCATTTGTAGCATAAAAAAATATGCTCATTTGACATTAGGATTTTTAAAGATATTATATCCCATGAGGGAATCGTAACAAAGGTGTAAGTACATAAAGCGATAATCGTGTGAAATTCAGTTACTATTTTCGTGATTACAATATAGTTACACATCGGGTAGCAAAATAAATGTCATATATAGAATAGTTCATATAATGTATTAGCTGCTGGATGCAAATAGAAAGATTACTCTGATTTTAAAAAAAGTAAAGCCAGAAGTATGTGCAACAATGAACAATATTTTGCTATCAATTTAAAAAGTAGGACAAATTACATACATCTAGAAAAACGACATTTTACTAAGATGGAAACTCACGTTGACTTTCAGACGACGTTTACTTCGCATAACAGCAGCATCTGCAGGGGATGGACTACGCTTCTGTGCCTTAGATTTGCTTGCCTTGGTAGCAGGTGGACTCTGAACGTCAGATCTCATTGGTGGTGTGCTTGCAGAGTCGTCCATTGAACTGGTCACGGTATTCTCTTGTGTTTCACTATTCATCTCAGGCTGCTGCTGATCGTTATGGGCATTATTTTTAAATTCCTTCGTATCACCAATAGTATCCTTCTGAATCAGTGATTCTTCAGAGGCCTGTAATGCTTTATTGCTTAACTCATCGGAAACCTCATTTGAAATCCCGACTTCTGATTCCTTTGAGGCACTAAATGACCTATCAGTTACTCTCGATACCTCCTGGTTCTGATTTAGATCTGCATCAAGAACTGGGACAGGTTTATTTTCTAGATGGTTTTGAAGAATATCACCTGGATGACTATCTTTCCGGTCACCATGTTCATCAGATAAAGGTTTAACTTCGGCAATTACTTCTGCAATTGCAGTGTCACTAAGACTTCCGTCTTTAGTACCATTGATTGTTTCACTATCATCTAGGATAGATAGCGAGGCAGGCAGGATCGGCGTTACGTTGCTACAAGTTTCTGACAAGGAATTATATTCCTCTCCTATAGGTGTAGATGAAGGTAAAATTTCACTTGTAGTAGTATCCAAACGCTTATTTTCTGTGTCTAGCCCAGATTTACCTTTGTCTGGCAACGGTGTAGTATGATCTCGTGAACTTTTTCTAATTAAACCAAATAACTTTTTAGGACTGGTAGCAGCAACTTTGGTGACTGTTTTAGACACACCTACAGCTTTGTTTTCATTCTCTGATCCTAGTTGTTCGTCATCTGAAAACACCTTTCCTTTGCCATACGAACCTGCTACTGGGGTCCTACGCTTCTTTCTTAAGGTTTCCGCCGCCATTGCTTCCGCAGCCTTGGCAGTAAGACGACGCTGGCGCTTTCCGACTGCAGCAGTAGTGCATGAATCCTCAGATAAATTGCCATCTGTCGCGATTTGAGGCTGACAACTGTCTCCTTTCGATTCTATAGAAAGAAAACATGTCCATAAAATTTGGAAGCAGTTTCTAAACAACGGGATCAAATAACTTAATACTTTGAAGGTGACAAAACATGATCAGGAACTATTCAGTTACTGCAAATTCAAATCATTTTTCAGAATCCGTACAACTGCAAAGAATTAAAAGACGAAATTAACCCTTTCTCTCAGCTATACTAAGGCAAAACTTACTAAATATTCTTAGGAGTATGCTACACAAAAATCCGAGCCCTAGAGGTCTCCGAATTACAGTCTCCCCTCAGCATACGAAACATGCAGTGTCAAACAATACATAACACAGCATTTTGAAGGGAAAAGACTCAGTACTCACATTACTCAGAAGTGATAGTTATACGAGACACATCCAAAGAAATTTTCATTTGTGTGCTTTGTTTTACAAATTAAAACAAATTACTAACCACAGACTCTCCAAAACACAACGGACCTATTTTATTTTGTTGTAATTATGTTAATTGTAAATAAGCTTGTGAGAAATAAAAAATAAAACAGGAATGTGACCTGATTCCAAATACTTCCGGCCAAAAACCATAAAAAATCACATTTTGGAAGATTGAGCTACACAGTTTATTCAGCTTTGACACATTAAGTCTCGGAAGACAAATGAATAACTAAACAAAGACACTGACCCCCTATTCAACAGTTCCATGTCATAAACTAACAACTCTTTCTTAACCTCACCTCATAACCAGAAAATCATGTGTTATCAGAATGGTGACAACAGTATGTTCACATGTCCTAACAACCACGCTAGTTTTCCAAAAATTTTATTTATCGAATGATGATAGTAATCATGTCCTGTACGTCTTCAGATGAAAATAATAGTCAGTAAAACACAGGGTTGGTAGGCACTTAGGTTTATTATAGAAAAGGTTTATGGAAAAATCTTCAGATTGTGGATGTGTCTGAAATGTTAAGCTTGGTGCTTTGATGGAATGACTTCTAACATAGAAATCAGCACAGAAATGCAGTAGTTCCAGTTGCCACACTCAGTGTTGCACACAAAGGCGCACAAATGATAGGGAAAAAGTAATTCAAACGAACTACAATAAGCAGAAATGTGAGGGAGAAAGAACAGTAACACTAAAAAGTGAGACTTCGGGATTCACGAAGTGTGAATGCATCTGAATAACTGACAATGACTTCCAGCCATTTCACCAATATTCCCCAGTCATTGGTTATTAACACCTCGAAGACCCTGACCATGTAACCTAAACCTCCTTATGTGGGTCAAACCAATAGCCAAAGACTTCCATGAGCTGATTCCAGGTTTTGTTCTGACCACCCCCAAACTTTTCCGTTCTAATCCTATATCGGCTAACACTGCCCGTTGAAGAAGACAAAGGATCGAAATACGCAACGCTTGTTATAGCTATCTCAATCGATGTAGCCTCACAACCTCATCGACTGATTCACCCTCCTTACTTAACACCTATGCCTAACCTCAATATTACTTACCCTATTATACCACCCAACATGGGAGATAGAACACATAACTATGATCAAAGAAAGTCAGTCTTTTCATTTCTTCCACTTTTTCTGACCATTTCTCAGCCACAAAAAATGACGGAGAAGACTGTTGCGCAGTAAATATGTCCCTCTATCGATAGCTGGATATCACGTCTACGTCAGAGACGACATAGGTTGGTAAATGTCACAGGATTTTTTTGTATCCGTGCTGAGATTTTGTCAGCAATCAGTCCATTGAAGCTAATGTAACTTCTCAAATAATGGAAGTGGTCAACACCCTTTACTATTTCACACCCAATCTTTAGGCTAGGAGTCGGTGCTGCCCAGTTCTCTAGCACCATCTTACATTTCACAAGTGAATCGCAAGGCAAATATTCGAAAGTTTCTACTTAGGGTGTTCAGAAGACTGCATTTCACCAGCGTCTCCACCTAGGAGGACCATATCATCCGCACATGCTAAGTCAACAAGACTATCCCCTGGTAACAAGTCAATCCTTAAGTAGCCAAAAGGGATCACGGTTAGATTCGCTAGTATATCTACGACGAAATTAAACAAATGTGAGCACAGTTAACACCCCTCACGGACATGGCTGGTTGACATCACCTCACATGACAACTCGCCAAGAGCTCTTACACGTCTGCGTGAGTTCCAGTAGAGGGTCTTGATTAGTTTAATATACTTGCTCAGTACTCCGCGATCAAACAGTATCACAGCACGTCGTAATCGATACGGTAGAATTCCACCCCTAGGCCAGGAAATATAGCAGTGTTGGACACCAGTATGTCTATTTCTCTGAATCTGTCAAAGGGTGAATAATGCACCCTCGTCCTGGCCTAAAGCCTGTAGGGTATTTGCGAGTATCTCTTAGGCACTACTTAGTCTATCCATGATCATTGAGCTTAGAACTTTAAATACCTTATTAGTCAGGATTGAATGAGAATGCAGTGGACAAAGATGTGTATGCTGTATGGTGATAGCATTTTACCAATAATGTTAGTAAAAACTGACAATCACGAGTGAATAAATGTCTTATTACTATTGTGCATCATAATGATGAGAACCATCATACGATGATTTCTAAGAGCACCTATCCACCTAAAACCGATGGGCAACTCATCAATCTTCCTTAAGCAATTTTTATACCAGAAGACCACAGACAAACGGTGAACCGGCACTGAAAGTACACGTCCAAGTACACTGAAAAATATATAAGCATGAAAAGTCGTCTAGGCTGACATAAAAGCAGTCCCAAAAATATAGTCCAGAACTTACCAAGATTTTGAAGTATATTAGGTTGATCCAGAACTTCGTTTGCTTCAGCATACTTGATTAGCTTATTTTCCTCTTTATTTTTGTCCCTGTAAGTTGAGAGAAAAGATGATAAGCATTTATGATAGAGTTTATTGCTCACATATCACTGACAAGCCTCAAAAGTAATGGTGATATCAAGTTAATTGACTTCAGGGACATATGCATCACATCCATTTAGAAAAGTGGCTGGCAAAATGTACATGAAACAACTCGTTAACCATTCAGTTAACCATGAAGAAATAACTACTTAGATAGTACTTCGATAAAGAATACGTAATACCTCAAATTACGCTAGAAGACATCAGATATCAAAAAAGTCACAAGCAGCGATCAAATTCATTCAACAACTCATCAAGATGCTTGCAATCGTATACCCGATTCGTATCAGATAAGATAAACTTAGGTATTAAAGACAAACATAAGCAACAGTAAGTCTACAAGATATCCTTGAACATAGAGATTATGATTGTGTTAAACACAGCATCTTAGCCTAAGGCAAAACACAGAAGCATATTTGGGTATTAAAACAGAATATGTCTCTTCATCAGAGATAATGAACGCACTCTTAGCGAGACCTCTTACTTTTGAAAACAGCCCTTTACTACAAACAATCTAATAAATAGTATGAAGGAAATAGCGAACTCAGGAGATATTACAGCGGACCAAAAGCAAAAACCATGTGATCTAAATAATAAGTTTCAAAAAACTTACAATGATGTATCTTCAGACGGGGAAGCTTTGACAATCTTCCTATTCCTCTTTCTCTTCTTTATGATAACACCACAAACAGCAGAGTTATGCTTGCGCTTGATCCCATGTAATTGTGGTACGGATTTCCAGTGAATAGGGCTTAAGTTTAAGGACTTCGAGATCAAGGAGAAGTTTATCAGTTGATGTAACTTCGAAGTAGCTTTCTCATCTACACTGAAAAGGGAACTTTGTGAAGTCGGGTCAGTCTTCCTTGTCTTTACACCATTTGAATTATTTCCGATCTCCCTTAAGGCAGCCTAATAGAGTTAAAAGCAGAAATAATAGATAGGAATACCTGTTGACTTCGAGAAGAACTGCTAACACCCTTAAGTTTCATTTCACTGGAAGTTTCCGACACTTTCGCAACAAGCTAGCGAGTAGGTGTGTTCAACCTTCATAAAGTAAGTAGACGATAACTTTTAAGACTGATTATCAACCTTACAGATATCCAAATATGCACGACTTTATCCAGACGGCCAACTTCTTTTGGGTAATACCATCAGTAGCGCGTTTTGCCGTAAATTCAAATAGACCGCCAGAAATTTAAAAGCCACTCTTCAACAAAATAGAAAATAAATGTTTCAAACTATTAGGAAAGAATAAAATCTGATAAAATTTTTTGATTTTTTGCCTTATTTTTCTTACATGACCTTAAATGTTAAGGTTTGCAGTTTTGACTTAGCAGTAACCTTGGTTCCGTGACTCGTTGGGATTTTTAAGCCAAAGAACAAGCACCTGGGTGTCACTTCAGCACTTACTTGTTGTATATATGGTCATTCTATACTTGAAATGTCTTTAAAGACCCAAATAAAAATGTTGGGTGTTTTGGAGGGTAATTTGATGGAGTTACCTAGGTGAAGGTAAACGATAGCAGAGAAACTCCGACAACCCGGGTTGTCGTAACAGTTGCAGGTTGTATAACTAGACAGATGTGGCTGAAATAGTTTTACTTCGCCATTGCTTATAATAATGTTGCAGTGTCTAGTTACTGGCTTCCAGTAATAGGCTTCCATTACTTCTCTTTCACTTTAATCTATTTTAGCCAATTCATGATGGTGAAAACGTAGATTATTGAACATTTACTAAGCAAACACCTTTTGCTTTCACCCAGTTTTGACAATTTAATGTGGCTTCAATGATCATGTAGATAAAGTCTTCGGTGAATTTTCTCTAAAGGTTCTAATTATTATATGAAAAAGCCATACTTATATGCCTCAACAGTCCTTTTGGCATATGTATTAACTGACAAAAATATTTACAACTGTCGAGGCATATAAGTATGTACATAAACATGCTAGCCCTTGCAGCCAAGCTAAACTTATTAGAATTGACTATTAGGATTTTCCTGAGCATGGCCAGTTTTATGTTTAACATTTTTTAAAGGTCTAATGGGTAATAATTGGCAAATAAAAATATTTCCACCAGCATACTTCGTCGCCGTGCACATAATTATTGTTACCAAATTTATTAACCAAATCAAAACTTGGACTGTTTCATAAATAGATGTATATCACGCATACAACAGGAACCTAAGGCAGTGGTACCCAAACGGCTAACAAACTAACACTTTTGACAAAAATACTATTTTTTGGTTTTTCGACAACTTACCAATGATAAATCAAATTTTGGGACCCAGTGGAACATAAGGTTTCAAGCTAGAGCATTGAAGTTTCAGTAGCAGTTGTATTCATTTTTATTGGATGGGGTTGCTAGCATCTTGTCCAACCTTCCTTCCTTACCAATCTTATTATTGGCTTAGCAAGGTGAAGAAGTGCGTTGGCCGGTGATCGAGCCCCGAACCACCTGCGTGGTTGGCGAGCATTCTACCGCTGGGCAACTGTATTTCTCAACCGAAATATAACTATTTAGGGATAAGTGTATTTGTTTAACTCTACCAATTAAGGGTTGTGTTACATTTCAGTTCAGCTTTAGCCAGGAAGAGTTGTTCATCATGAATCCCTGAACCTAGTTTTTGTGTTTGTTGACACTCATCATCAAAGTGAATCTCCAGTCGCATATCTCTTCTTTAGGCCTGAATAGCTTAGTAGTAAATTATCTGTCTTGGTTTTCGAATAGGCATATGAATTCCTCTAACACAAGACCTAAAACTAGAGCTTCTTTCTTCAGTATCTAATATTTTTGTATTTTTAAACAAACATTTAGTTTTAACTTGTTGTTTTCATGAGATCACATACTTTATTGTGTAATTCTAGCAATTCTTGATTATATTGTTGAGAAATATACAAAACTGAGGGTTTAATGACACGAAAACTTCATAAATGGTCGGATAATGTGACTTGTTCGTTGAATATCTAACACAGCAAAGCAATATTTCTTCCTTTAATGAGATCTATAGTCTTCTACTGCTCAACAGAGAAATAAGCATCTTTGATAAAGCATAAAAAGGTAATAGGCTTCATAGGTTTTAAGTAAAATTGTGTGTAGGTTTTCAACCATTTAGCTAAAGTTTTTTTCAAGGAGATCTGTATGCTAGGATGAACTACTTTAATCACTTCCTTGAACAGCCCTTAAATTCTGAGAGCTAAGAATATGCTTCGAGTTATTTCTGATTAACGTGTGCTTCGAGATATTTAATAGTCTTATGCTGTTACTTCAGAATTTATACAACTGATTAATGAACAGTAATTTAATCAGTAAACCTATTGATAAGAATGAAATCTTTGAATCTTCCAAAGGAGGATACTCGGTAGAAAAAGTTCGAAGACTTCAATTTCTCGAAAATCCTCACAGTAAGGTAGAAAAAACATTTGACTCATTCGAATATAAACCTACGTTAAAATCTCCTCCATGTAAAGGTTTGAAATAGGAATTTAGATGCATTATTGCCTGTACTTGAAGTGTTAGTCGATGGGTAAATAATTTAAGCAGTCACAATAGACTTCAACGTCCTGTCAACTAAAATGAAAACTTAAGAGATAATTGGAGGGAAAACTAACAAATCATGCAAATTATTTTTATTTTTTGATTATTTTTGATTACATCTTGATTCCACTTAGCATTTTTTGGTACAAGTATGGAATTTTCAGCATTTGTGATATCGGTAGCCCAAATTTTGCAGGCCAACTAGAAATATCAGGTGTTTGTCGGTAGGGGCTTGAACCCCGGACCATGTGCATGTTCGGGGAGAGTCCTAACCCCTGTGCCACCAACGCACTGAATCCATAGCTACTCCATCTCTCTGTCTATAGATTTCATTGTTAAAAAGAGATTGGACATTTAGAGTACATAGAAGTATGAGCTCTTTTAGGTACGATGTGGGCATTCCTACGTTTCCAATCAGATCTTCGCTTATGTGTCTTGTTTTAATATTAATTAATAATGGGGATACTTAAAGATTTCTACGTTTACTCTTTGTAATTAAAAATGAAGTATCCAGTTTCATTTAATGGAACCATCACGAACCAATATCGATTAGAGAGAACAATAAAAACCAAGAAGCACTAGACTGCTGTTTAGCCCTAGTTTCGGACTCTCTATCAGTACGCACCTACCCTGGGTTTCCAACTCAGGACCTTAGGATTATGGTAGTTGTCGATAACACCAGTGTTTGTTAATACCACTGAATTATTAAGATCAAAAATCTAAGATGTATACAGGAATAATTTGTCACTAGATCGTAGTTCAAAACTTCTGTATATGATAATGTGCATGAATACAGTACTAAAATGAACTTGAGGTATCAACAGTGAATATATGCAACTGTAAACGGTCATGACTTATACATTGGTTGATTTTTATTCGGTCTGATTATAATGAATAGTAACATCAGAAACAACGAAAAAACAGTGGGATAGAAGGTTGTGTGTGCTGCGTGTATGCGTTATTGCTTAAGTAAATAACAGAGGATAAATTAAGAAAACAAAAGATTTGTCCATCCAAGTGTAATGATAAATACGAGATAAAGGGAATTTATACATACAAGACAAAAGATCGTGCCCAAAAGGTATGAAGTAATAAAGTATTCATGGGTTTATAGATTCCAGAGCAGGTCAGGCTGTGACGCATACTTAATAGATGTTTACTGATAGGATTATTTTACTGCCTACTTATTTTGTTCCTTTACGTTCCCAGTGGAACACAGGGCTCCAAGCGTCAGCTTTGAAGTTTTGGTAGCAGTGATGTTAATTTTTACGGGATGAGGTTGTTAGCCTCACGCCCAGCCTTCCCTCTTTGCCCACCTTACTACAGGCTTAGCGAGGTAAAGAAGTGTGTCAGCCGAGGATCAAACCCCTAACCACGTGCGTGGTTGGCGAGTGTTCTACCGCTAAACCAAAGACGCAGATTGATAAGAAGTGGTCAAAAATTGAGATCATTTTAGATCAATAGCTACAATTGCAAAAGTGTTCATTCCTCAAACCTGGATTTAGTTTAAGTTGTGGTCGGTGGCACAATGGTTAGGACGCTCACCGACCATGCACATGGTCCGGGGTTCGAATCCCGGCCGACCCACTCCTTCACCTCGCTAAACCAGATATAAAAAAGCTGGCAAAGAGGAAAGGTTGGGCATGAGGTTTGCAATCCCATCCTGTAAAATTAAACACTGCTACAGAAACTTCAAGCCTCCAGCTTGAAGCCCTATGTTCCACGGGGAACGTAAAGGAATAAAAAAAAGTGTGGTCTTGAAATAATCTCATTGGACTACTTTTCGTCCCGCTTTTTAGTCCCTTTGACCAATCGCCAACCATCCAGAACAGTTTATTGTCTACCGACCTAGCTGATTTTCAATGTGCTTAGAAATATATCAGTGTGATGCGCTTTTTCTGGATGAAAAGGTCTGTTACCACTTCTCTTATCTTCTGCCGTTACATGGGTAGCGATAAAAGCAAGACTTGTTCTTTTTGTAAACAGAGTCCTGGTTGTTATCAGCGATTTTCTGTGGCGTTTGGGAATTCACTTCGTTCACAATAAAAAAGGGGTTATTCTGTACTGGTCTTTTAATATGTTTAAACCAGGCGTGCCAATAATAATTAATTATTAATGCTTTTAACTGAACCGTTGTTTCCGAAAACGAAGAACCAAGTTCCTGAAGCGATAGTCGACACAAATGGCTGTACAGAAGTAGTTGAAGTAATAGGTACAAGAGGAATTGCCTAGCTTAGGCACTTCATCTTCTACTCACATTTATGTATTGGTTTTTTTTTTAAATTTAATATCTCAATACTTTTAAAGTGTTCTACACTCTTTTTGTCAGTGTTTTATGGTATTAAAGGTACACTACTTTTTGGCTTTTAAGTAGTAAAAAGATTTTATTGATTTTTCTAGAAAATTCTGCGGTCATTCAGTTTTCTTCAAGTAAATTGACAATTTATATGAGCAAGTGTTGAAGCTATTTTCATGAATGTAAAGACCTAAAGAAGAGGATATCTTGTTTATACTTTGATTAAAGCATCTTTTATTCACCCATACTGGCAATGCAGTCTACGCTTATCCCTTAATCCCTTATTAATTACAGTAATGGATCATTTCCCAAACATTTTAAAATGGGTAAGAGTAGTGTGTTGTTATAATTTGGTTAAAAC